CCCATCACAAAGAGGGGTAAATTCCTATTCTGAGATCTAATTCTATCTCCATAGATCTTCCATGCACTACTTGTAATCACTTTTCTTCTCCAATCTATCTTCGGATTATATTGTTCCATCCATGGCATTCCAAGGATGACATCATATTGAGCTAAACGAATTACTCTCCATTCAATGCTCTCCTTGTATCAACCTATGGATAATTCTGCACTCCGTGGTAGTGTTTCTATCACTTCAGTTTGCCTGTTTGGCAATTCAACTTCTTCACTCACGTCCTTCATCAACATCAAACCTAACTTTATAGCAACACTCCTTGATAGAAAATTCTCAGTTGCTCCAGGATCAATTAAAACTCTCACCTTGTGTCCTTCCATGAAACCATCAGTAACAATGAGTTGAGCTTGCTTCTTACCCCTTCCATGAGCTCCCAACCATTGCCTTCTTCCAACCTCGCCTTTTCTTCGCTTTGTAGAACCAGTAAGGCCGCGAGGCAAAATTATTGGTGATCTTCGTTTCCCAAAACTGCTTCCTCCACCTCTTCATACTCTATCCCCTCCATATTGTTGAACGGGCATCACTGCATGGGCCGTCCTCCTTGTTGTGTCGGCCGAACTCGACAAAACTTGACTATGTGATCCATTCGTCCACATGCATAGCATTGGCGATTGTCACGAACTCCAGCTCCTCCTCAAACCATTCCATTATTTGCATAACCTTCTTGCAAATTTGGAACTCCTGGTCGCCTAATCTCACCTCCAAATCTTGGTGGTGGTCCTCTTGTTGGTGCAAAACCTTCTCTACGTCGAAGGTTTCCCAACTTCATCGGTGTTGGACCAGATGGATCTTGAAAATTGCTCACTGGTTCACCGTGTGTGACACCAAAAGCACCCGAAATTCGTTGAGCAATTGCGATTGCTTCATTCACAGTAGATGGATTGCTTACCATCACCTCCTTTCGAATTCGATCCTTCAATCCTCGTTTGAACACGTTCAAGGCTTCAGCTCCACTCATATCCATGATAGATACTTGAAGATCACAAAATTCTTCAATGTACTCATGAATACCTTCTTTCTGCTTCAGATCCCACAACTTCATTCTTGCAGTTTGAAGAGAATCCACCGCTTGAAAATTTTGCAGAAGTCCTTCCTGCATTCCACTCCACGAAATGGTAGCACCTCGTTCTGAAAGCATTCTTTCTCATGTTGTGTACCATGTGAGAGCCTTATCCGTAAGATAAGATCTCATGAACATTCCTGCAATATAATCAGAATCATGAAAATGGGATAAATGAATATTCATCCTCATAATCCATCCCTCTAACACTCCCATTGCTCTACTCTCTTTGTAAGCTTCCACCTTACAGGATTTTCCCATTCGAAGCAAAAGATTTGCTTGATCTTCAATCTCTTGAAGACGTCTCCTATTTACTTCTGTTGCATCAATAGGAGTTGGTTCTGGCTGAACTTGGGAAGCTTGAACTTGGGGTTCAACTTCCATCTCTCCAACTCTCTCTCTCTCTACTTTCTCACTCTCCAATGCGAAGATTTTATCTTCCATGGCTTGCTGCTTGGTATGCCCATCTACTATCGCTTTTCTCAACTCCTTCATCTCCGCCATGATTGCGTTGAGAACCTCACCCATATCAATTGATGTCCCCATGCTTTCTCACACTCTCTCTAATACAAAGTGAGTATAATCACTATGTGACCTCTCAACAAAGGAGTCACAAAAGGTGCAGGTGACTCTATCACAGCTCTATAGTACTACTCTCCATAATTCCTCACAAGAAAATCTCTCCATATCCTCTTCAGTCTATATATTGTTCTAATCTCTACATAAGTGCTGAATCGAACCGGGACAGGTGGTTTGCGATTCAAATCCATGAAACAATCAATATATAATGTATATAGTACAATCCCAAGTCTCTCCATAAGTAACTATTGGAAGAATGATGGAGTCAAGAGTGACTCCATCACTCTAGTCATAAAAACTGCACCCCAACAAGCCACAAGATACATCAAAAAATGATGTTTTTCCATGTAACGAAGGTGAATATCGAATAGGTTAGGAATTGGCCAGTGCGGTACTGGATTCCTGTCAATCCCGTCCATATCTGCAAAAACACAATTTCCCCCTTCCACCTCTCTCTACATGCAGATGAATGACCTCTGCCAGCCTCTATACACTCTCAAGACTACACTCCATCATCACTCACTTGCTATTCCATGAGGGGAAAGAGCAAGGTTGCTCTGATACCATTGTAACACTAGGGTTTAGAGAGAAGCTCACTCGAAGATAGAAACATAAACTCTGAAGATGAGAGATACCAACAATGGTTCTCCTCTCCCTTATATAGCTCTCACCAACAAGTACAAGGTGATAAGATCTAATCCCCACCATCCATCCCACTCCTAGTGGATGGATGACGTGGCGGATAACCCTAACAAGCACACGGATTGCTGACGTGGCACTGTCAACTAACACACTCAATCCTTACCTACAAGCACACGGATTGCTGACGTGGCACTGTCAACTAACACATCCACTTTGTACCTACCAAGTGCGCGGATCGCTGACATGGCAGCTATGACTAGTGCACACTAAAGTATCTACATCAATATTTAGAGAAACCTCTACTTTAGTTCTAACTAACTAAAGATGGTTACATGGAGTTAACACTGTGAAATGAAAGAGCAGAAAACATACTTGAGAGTGACGTAACTTTTGTATATCTAGTAGTTTCATATGCTAACCTATAAGTGACTTTGTATGTTTTGTTCACATGAGCACATTCTTTCAAAAGAAAAAGTACTCTTAGGGACCCAGAAAATAGTTTTGAAAAGCATTCTTGAAAGTTTTTAGTGATTGTAACATGGTGAAAGGTAATGTATGTTTTAGTTTTGATTTCAAGTCTAGATCATATGTTTATAAAAAATAACGAATGTTAGAAGTTAAGTGGGTATTCATGGATCAATTATAATTGACATGGATGATGATTTGAATGTGTTGTCTTGAATCATGTTTTAATCAATGTCTATGACTTCCGTTCATGGTTTGTGAAAGATCTGAGAGCAGATCTGAAGAGGAAGTCTGTCATTGACTTTTGTATGAAAATTTGACCAATGCTTGATCATATTGCAACATTTGTCAAAAAAATATATCACGTATGACTATTTTCCATAGCTGCAATGCAATGCAATGCAAGCTATTTGTAATCAATTGATGAAAAATCATGACGTACATTATGAATATGGATGTGGAGCTTATACATTGAATAAATTTTACAAATATCAGATCAAGTTCCCAAATTTCAAATCTTTACTCAAAATGATTATAATTGTCTCCAAATGAGTTAAGAACCAAACCCTAATCAATAAGATATTTTCTTTAGTTTGCAAGTAGATTTTTGGCAAGTACTGTCCAATGATTGTGTATTCATCTTCACGTGGATCGAGTTTTAATTTTATGTTTGTTCATCTCAATTCACTCAAACGCTCCATCAAATCTATGCTAAATCTAATTGAAGAGAAGCGCGAGAAGTGGAATATTGATGCTAACTATGAACTTTCTGAAAGCCTCGTTGACATTATCAAGAACATTAGCTTCTTATGCGGCGTTAACTCTTCAATCGATCTCGATCATTGAGAGAGAATACAGGCGCAAAGACCCTTAGGGAGGCTGTCCCTTCGGACCAAGAACATGGGGTTCTACAATCCCGAACCCTATGACCAAAGGGCTGAGAAGACATGAAATGGCTTTACAATTTTTACGTAGTTTGACTCATTTGCTAGTGCATCGGTATTATTAAGAATGATTTATCAACAATGAAAACTATCTTTGAGGCTTCTAAATTTGTCTTCTCCATCTCAATACTGTATTATTCAGTGCCAAGCTTGAATAGATGCAAGCTCAACTTTGTTATTGATGGTATCAGATTTGCGTGCTTGTTCACGCGCTTTTTGATCTATTGCGATCTAGTTTATCATGAATTTTGAATGAATGTTGTGCATGTCTATAGTGATCAAGTGCTTCAGGTTGGCAGAGATCATTTATCGATCAATATAATGCAGCAATCAAGCTCTTGACTCGCCGTCATGAATCTTCAAAGTAGAATGAGCAGTTGTTTGAAAGCATGAAGTTGGTTTTCATGGAGTTTTGTGTCACTAAAAGCAGTTCATGACCAGCATGGCACCATGTAAGTACTATCAACTCGCTATGTTTATGGTCAATGTCAGTCCAAATATCTCCATCTTGCTTCTCTTTTGATCAAGATGTATATCGGACCAGATCATCAAACGATGTTGAATGATAGCACAAGGTGAAAAAAAAAGTCCATTGCGCTTGACGCTATTTCTCAGTCTCAGGCAAGATTGAGATGCAAATTGTTGTGCGGCATAATTCTTCTGTCTGAAATATGATATTGAACCTCAAACGTCAACCGTTCGAGCATCACATTGCATCTCTATGCAAGGATCAAGATCTAGCAATGATGCTAGAGCTATATCAAGATGAGTTTGTCATCATGGCGATGGAGTGGCCGGTACAGAATGCGCTGAACAAAAAGCTGTTGGAGGAGAATGAAGAGTTTGAAGACCTAGTCTCTTATCTCCTTAACAAACTTAAGTTAATTTAAGAGTTGGATTTACTATGTGTTCTATACGCCGATAGATCATTCGAGGAGATATCTAACTCCATTCTCTTTTGAGTCAAACAGCAAGTACTAATGAGTCAGTGATGTATTATATTAGATATAACTATACATAATAAAATGCACCATCACTATCCACTATGTTCCACATGATTATAAAATGAAGAAAATACTTCTTAAATAAAAATCATCTTTACTTCAGACGTTTTACATGTGTATGTATTGTTTTTAATAAAAAAAACTGACACATCCATAGAGATACATAAATAATATTCTACTCTTTGCAATAATTTCAAATTTCTTAAAAGTATATTTTCCGCCATTATTTGTATGTAAATATCTCATCTCTTGCCCAATCTTAGTTTCAACTTGGAGAAAGTTCTTGTTGATAGTAAATATTCCAAAGTAGAATATAATCATAAAATTATGCTACTTTTGATGAATTTTCAGTCCAGAATATTTGACTTAAAATAAATAATTCTTCTTCGGTGGAGTGGGTTTAGCAACTTCTTTAATCACATGTGTAAATTTCCAAAATAATGAGGATAATTAATTTTTAATTCTAATTCAGTTATCTTTAATAATCAATAGTACCCTCATTGATTTATAAACCCTTGCAGCTCTGCAAAATGTATGTACTCTTTCTGTGTGTCTATCATTAGTCTATATACATGTGCAGTATTCGCATATTAGTATACAAGAAGTGAGAGATAAAGAGCAAAAAATCCCCCTACAAACAATGCAATATACACGAATTGCATAAAAGTTGTACAAACATGATACTATGCATTCAATCTTAGAAAATATATCTATCTCAAAGGTAATTTTATTAATATTAGAAAATTTAAGCTGAAACACGCTTAGGAATAAATTATGAAATGTCTTTGTCAGACACGTTTATCATCGGCATACATGATGACGGTTGATCTTTTCCTTTATCACTTGCAGAAAGTTCAAAGGGATTATCTCTCTCTTGTCTCTATACAGTTCATTCCTACCCACTTGTACCTTGATATATTTAAAATACTCGTTACCACCTTAGTGCATTGAAAGAGACATGTTCAACTTGTTGTCCTTCATTAATATTCGAGCTGGATGTTTGTACTTTGTTGGACTATGTGGAAATAGAATATCTCATCATCAGAAATTCTTTGTAACTTCTAATTTCATAATGGTAGGGCAAGTCGTTTATTTACCTATCAGTTGGAATTTTCCAACACAAGGAAATCCCATGCGGTAGCTTCTAATATTGTGTTAAAAACACCCATGGTGTTCATTTATTACTTTGTCTTTCAATCTAAGAGATAAATTCATTCACTTTCATCGGCCCGGATTTCGAGCAGAGTATAGTATGCCTGATGCTGCTAAACGACCTCTTTCAGATTTATTTTTTCAACAGCACACCCAAACGTATAACTATGTTTCCTATCTATTTCAGTTTCTGGTCAATTCCTTTCTATTTCAGTTTTTGAGTGACCGGACTTCTTTTTTCAAGCCTATTTCAATTCCTTTCGGCCTTTACTGTGTTGTCCTTAACGTCTTATATCGAAAGAATCTCACTTCTGCAGACTCGTCCTAATTGTTCAGTGTCCTCTGGCACGTGCAAGTGGAACGAGGGAGTAAATTTGCTTTCAAATACCTCACAATGCTTTTGAGTTTGACGTACTAGAGGGCAGATTTTAGAGGAAACGTGATGGCCGATGTTTGAACGCTACTGTGATCGTTGCTCCGCAAGCTGTCCTAAACAGCGAGCAATCAAACAAACGTGAAACCACGGATCAGGAGTAGAGATAGGCTTGAACTAGTGTGTGGCTGAGGGGACCGCAAAATAACCCTTTAGTACTGAACTAGTTTCTATGTTGAGAAACATGCAGTAGAATGTGCATGTCATACATATGCTTTTGTATACATATACATGTGTCATACAAGCGTTCAGCAGTGTATCCGTGTAATACTGCAAAAGAGTCCAACCATGTGCCTCTGCAACTCTCTTTTATCTTTCCATTGTCAACAAGTAAAGAAATTACGTACCATTACAAAAATAATGAGTTTTTTGGATCCAAAGTTAACATTGGGCGTAAAACCTTAGTCGTACGACCGCTGTCGGAAGTGTAAAGAGTTTACAAAGTACTTAAGAGTTTTGAGACCGACCATGGGGAGGGACCGACAGCATCGATGAAATAACCTTACCTTTCTTAACTGAACAGAGTTCCAACTTTCGCGTTGTGGCCTTGCGGAATTGATAGTTGTGACCTCTTGCTCACTCTATCAAAATTACATGCAGCCTTGTTGACTTCTATATACATTCTCTGAAAGAACGATTTGATAGGTGTTATGTTTATGTTCGTACACATACATTGAAACTGTCATAACAGAATCAACATGTATTAGACGATGCACACTTCAAATTTATCCATAATGATCTCTTCTTTATTAGCTCTATTAGCATAGGGGTGTAGCAGATCGAAGGGCTGGTGAGAATAAGGTAGTCAGTGAAAATAGCTTCACTTTCTCTCAGTAGCTAGACTTGTGCTTTAGCCTCTCGAATAACAGCTTTATGCTCTGAGCTTCGCTTACTTTGCGGGTTTTCTTTTTTTTTTTTCAAGCTTTTGCTCAATTTGCTTCTGATCTTGATAAGGCTACTCAAAAAATGACATGGTCTGTTGTGTTTATCATTGACCTAACTATCAATTTGAGAAGGTGCCAAGGCCGTGATGTGCACACGAGAGCCCCATCTGCAGCTCAACACTAAAACCTCTTCCAGCAGAGATATGATGAATTCTGACATGAAGGCTAACTATTACTAGGTAAAGAATAACTGCACAGGTGAAATATATCTTACAAAGAATGTGGCTATGACTTTTAGACGCCCATCAATCGATCTTTCATCATCTTTGAAATTGCGGGTGCATCCACTGTCATCGCCACCTTCACCTCGGGCAAATTGCACCAATCTGTGGGTTCTGCCCATCTGTTGCAAGAAAGCAATGGCGTGAATATCCTTCCATCAGAGGAAGATGAGCTAGCAAGTCGGCATTCTCTATACAGAGCTTAGGATCTCAACCATCAAACACTGGAAAGAATGTGGAAGAGGAAGACAAAGAGGAAGCACACTAACTACTCAAGCTCACTCTCTATGAACAAGACACTTACTTCTTTGATGTATTATTGAATACGGTAAGTCCCTTGCAAATCCCGTCTCTTTGTACTCTTACAACACCTTTAGCATATGTGAACAATGATGGATCGATTGCGGCGATCATTGTTGTCGGGTCGTGTAAATATATAGCTGTGGCAATCACCCAGAGTCATATAAATTCTAGCTTGTAGAAAATGTGAAAAGTTTCAAAGATATTTCTAAAGCTGGCCCTTGGGTTACAATTGGCCTTCACGGTGTCTTAACAGAGCATTCAAACTCCACTTCAAGAAACAAGACTCAAAAGTCTGAAAACCCTGAGGTTGCTGAAACGTGAAGCCTCAGTGGTGCCGAGGACTCACGTATTAATGAACTGATTTCTCAAGGTCCTACAGAGCTTATCAATTGAAGTTTATACGCAATGTTACGTAACGTGTGTATATGCCAGTGGTTCTGCTAGCAATCACCGACAGATCGAAGCATGGTAAGACATAATACAGAATGTTGAAGGTAAATTCCCACTAGCATCATTTTTCTGCTATGCGGGAAGATACGCATGATTGTATCAGAGATCTGACTTCCCTTCCAGCTTGTACAAGGCTACCGATGAGTAAAAGTTGGAATTTTATTATGGAGGTTTTCACGTACCCAAAAGTCCGGTTGACCACAACTGACCTGTATACGAGGTGCTCCCAGGAACCTAAGGTTTTCAGTCCCTTAGTGTGGTGATTTAGAAGGCTTGTACCATATATTGGCAGATGATACTGGCAACCTGTCAAGTGCAGACGTGACTAGAAAACTGGCGTTCTTGGAGGATGTGACTTAAGGCCTTTCACCCTCGATTTGATGGAATAAACCCTCAACCTTCCTCTCTGAAACGATCCTACCACGAACTATATTCCTAGCTGTAGTTGGCATTCAATGACATGATCTAAAGTGCCTTGTTTTCAGAAGCACTTTAAGGATTAGCGAACCCAGCCAGAGTTCGAATCTAGCCTCAATCTAGCAACTTCTCGGATTCTGAGCACCGGATTTCAAGCATTTGGTCGGTCTAAGAGCCTATACGGTCGGAAAGTTGACAAGCATTGGGGGCCCTACTTGACCACCGTTCAATGATAGAATATACAAGAGGTAGCATTAACAAAGGTAATATTGACCTTCATAATGATATGTCAGCTTTTTTTAGTTATTTGGGCCCCGTTTCATTTTTCTCAAATCAATGCACATGATCTAAACAAAACCAATGTGCTTTCAACAACCACGTGATAATCAAAAGCCTACTCAAATAACGAGCTGAAATGAGATATAACATACCATCTATATCATAGGCATTTTGATGATAGGCGAAGTAGAATTTTGAAACATCGTATAAATATTTGCCATATTTTCCCTTGCTATCCCGGACCTCCTCCATCTCCTTACCTGTACGAATCAAGTAGAAGGGACGATATTTGAGACCGGGTAAACAGTGAAGGGGCAATTAAAAATCTCCAGGGGATCTTTTAGATATTCCAATTCAGTTGCATTGCGAATGAGAGAACTGCCGATTGTCAAATCGGCATTGAATGTGGAGTTCCTCAATCATGTTCCATATACAGTATAAATGGCAGTAAGTTTCTGAAAGTGAACTACTGGGACCCATGACAGTTATAGCACCGAAGCCAACCTGTGACTTTGAAGGTAAAGAGGATTGATTCACCTGTGAAGAAGACTTGGTGCGTGACATTGATTCCAATTATGATGATGTCCGCACCACATGTAAAGACTATATCTGCAGCTTCTGGATCTCCATAAATCTAGAGGAATAGAGTTGAGTAGATATCATTCATTGGTCAGTACTAACTAACGCCGGCGTCAGTCAATCTGAACTCAAACTAAGACAGACAATGTATGTATGTTACTGCTGACTAGTGCCAACTTCAAACAACCTCATATTCTAAAAGACAGCTCTTCACGTATAGGACTCTAACAAAATTAGTGTCAGGTACTTACATTTGCTTCAGCTGCTGGATTTACATTTCCATTCACCATAAAGTTACCGCCAAGAACAATGATTTGGCCAATATTCTTGGCAAAGTCGGGATCATCTTCTACAGCCTGAATACAGAAAAACAATGATCACATGAATTGAACCTCAGTTTCGAGGAGATGTGCAGAACAGGCTTCAGGAAGCCAACTATGCTACTCTAGAACCCCACTGTTTATGGCAAGGTATTTGAAAAGTGTGCATCGCCAAGGTTGAACCTTCGTCCAAGATCATGTTTGTCTGAACTTGTTGCTTATCTAATAAGGGTGAAGCTTGTATACACATGATGAGGACGTAAAGCTTAGCTTGTTGTGGGATGATCAAGGCCATGTTTATCATGAAGGCCGTCCGTGTAAAGCTATTCGAGCATTCACTTGCTTGGGTGGGACATCTATAGATTCAGTTCGGTATGAAATTCCTCCCACTCTTCTTTATGACATTTGGTTTTACAGGCAAGTACGGATAGTGGAAGGACCTGATGGTTACGAAGCTCATGAAAGAGAAAAACATAAATGCTTTTAATCGCTGCGTACAACCTCCCTATCTCTGAATAACTTTATTCTCCGAGGACACCGCTTGTTGAGTCGAATCATCGAGATGAAATCATCGGTTTTATTCACATGCATAATGACTCCATTCGCAATCTACAGGCACACTCTGCGATGCGTCCCCATGTCTCAAATATTATCGAAGCAAATTGCCTACTTGAGCGAGCAGTACTGGAGTGAGGAGAAATTACAAAAATAGAGCATGGCTCAGAAGGTATGAAATCCCCCTGTTCGACTACATTTTCAAAGTACTATCCAGCAGGACATCCAACTTGCAGGGGAAGGGAGAAGACCGTGAGAATTCACGAGACAAACTGCAGAAAAAGATGTGTCTTGGTTCTTTGATAGCCAGAGATGTGAGCTGAGTCTATGGGAGCACATTGAATTTAAAGACAACGTACCTTGGCTACGTTTGATAGAGGTCCCAGAGCGACTATAGTGACCTCACCAGGATACTCCTTGCTTTTTTGCCTGAAAAAATCAGGAGCAGACTGAGCGATTGCTGACCTCTTAGGGGCTGGGGGATGAGTATTTCCTAGGCCATCTTGTCCGTGAACAAAGTCTGCAATCCTGTTTTTGAGTTGTCCCTGTTTCACACGACAAACACGGCGTCAGAGAAATGTGTGGAAAGCATAATTTTAAGGATAAAAAAGTAATCGTCAAAGAAGCCTTTATTGGTGTGATACCAATTGTCTCAAAACAAGCTGACGGTTAAACGGCAAGTGATTGATCGAACATCCTCCAGCCTCGAGCTTGTATCCTCATTTAGTACAGATTGAGGAACGGAATATGATAAGCGAATGTACAACGCAGGAAAAGTGTTGATAGTTGTAAAATCAAAATGTTACTTACGGAAGTTGTATGTCAATTTCCAACCTTACATCACATGTGTAAAGCTAGGCAAAGCTGACTTTGGAAATCCATGTAGCAGGAAGTATGCAATCAAGATTGTGAAAGTTATAAAGGCACTGAAATCACCCCTTTCGACAGAAAGCAAGATTTCTAATGATCTACATCTGACTTTTGTACGTGGTCCTGCAGGTAATACTAATTTTGAGTACCCAGCGGACAGAAACATGGCTAGCGGTTGATCAGGCCGTACTGCGTTGAACTGATATTGCTGATGAAACGCATACATGCAGCAAAAGTTCAAATGGCCCCATGAGTTGTCTTGAAGAAACAGAGTTTTAAAAGGAGAACTGCAAACTTATTTTCAAGATGCACAAGAAGACAATGCAGCCGATATTTGCACAAAGATTGACACATGAAAAATCTGTTGGGCTCTGCCACCATCTGCTGCAGTACAAGCAAATCCTCGACTAGATACTAGATCCTAGTTCCTAGTGCAATGAATCACATTTCCCAGGCTTTTCGATCCACCCGGTTTGTTCTCACTCTAGTTTTGAAAGGAGATAGTAAAATACGTACTCTGAGAGATGTCTCCAGGCCTTGTGAAACTGGAATGTCATCTCTCCCACCCAGTTCGCACTGAAGAAGATTTTAAACGGATCATTTAGTAAATATCAAAATTGTCGAAAGACGTAATCCTGATAATTATCATTGCTCCTGATGGCTTACAATGAAACTCCACTGTATTTCGTTGAGCTGTTATGAAAATTGCATCTCTAAAAGCGCTATATCCAAAACAACTGGCCTATACTTTCTACTTCCAGTGCTGAGCATCTCCTCGAATGATTCAGGAAAAGAAGGAAGTTGAAATCACGAAAATATGTAACAAGGCAGTGTACCAGATGAAGGGCATTATTGGAAGCCATCGTCGTGCGGACATTGCCAAACGTTGTCGTTATGCCAATGATATCCAACTCCGGTGACTCGAAAGCAAGCAGTATCGCCATCGCATCATCTACAGCAAGTCAGATATGAATGATAAACGCTCCAGAGACTCTTGGATAACAAAAAAAATATACTGACGGGTAGATGCGTTGCGCAGAGCGCATACAGGACCTTATTCCAGGTTATGTAGAATAGGCAACATCTTCAAACGTCACTCAAAATCTATTAGTATCAGGTGTGGGACATCCTTCCTTACGGAAAGATTGTGGGACCGCGAAAAATGTTCAATTGTATGTTGTGATATAGAAGATACTTCCCCTCTTCAACAGCTGGTGAACATACTTTCAGACTTCCATACTGATAAAGCAGGAGGAAAGCATAGACACAATCTAGTCACTGAAGATGGGGAGTTCAAAAAACTGCCGTGACTATGCGGCGAGCTTAGAGGTTCTCTCGGACCAAGCAATTCTCATGATCGATGATTTCATCAAGAAGGAATTCCTTTTCTGTATGCGCAGTTGAATCTCTTGCTAATTGAATTCAAAACCAGTTTGCCATAACATCGGGATTTTCCATCAGAAAATGAGCAGATAAAGTCGGGTCTCGCAGAAGTGGGAGATTGCCAACATTGCCGCCAACGGCCTAGTTAGCAATCTCATGGATTCGACAGTTTGTTGAACCGAATGAGCAGAGCAGCAATGCAGGGCCAAGTGATCTAGGAAGCGAGAAAGAAATGCAGGTATAAAAGGTAAAAAGAAGTGGCACGCTGCTGGGGGATATGGTTTTACGGAACCAGATATCAAATTACCTATGCCAGGATCCGTGTCGATAATAATCTTTTTCGGAGCACGCACCATTGACTCCTCCGGCATAGAGACCTGAGGCATTGAATTTCTGGACGGACTGACTTTCAGAAGCACAAGCAAATGCTCTGATTTCAAGCCTGAAGTGGAGTCGCAGCGAGAAACAAATATGTCCTCAACTGTTTCGCCGGCGTTAAAAAATGTTTGCTCCCTTCAAAAACGGTCCTTCTCCTGAGCGCTCCGTTATGTTATGATTTGATCTGTGTACGGCTTGCAGCGAAAGGGCCCAATTCTCGTCGGTCTCAAGTCAATGATGTGGCGAGCGAATTAGAGTTCTCACAGATGTTTTGTCCATCCAGGGCTCAAGGAACAGTAGATCGAGAAGAAAAGCGTGTGATGCTGTCTTGGGTTTTGTTTTGTCAGCTCTTGCTTTTGCTTGGCTTTGTAGTCCGTGTGGCGTTCATAATCATCGAGAAAAAACACCACGTACGATCCGCGGTAGGTAGAGATTTTTTAGGGTGAGGACTTTTACAGTTGGACCGCGCCCAGAGCCACAGCCAGTTCACCTGACCGCAAGGGAAGCAACCTGGCCATGCCACTGTGCACACCACAGCGTCTACGAAGACAGGCAGCACCACCACCAGAGGCGACGATGTCGGAGGAATCATAACAGGCATGATTCTTTTCTCGATAATGTCCGTCACAGCGAGAAGGAAGTGCGCACCGGGTGTGTTCGTACATTATGACCACGTGATAAAATTGAACCCTCTAAGTAAACGACGCTAGACAAGAGTAAACTGCACCACCCAGGACAATATTGTTCCGCCTAGTCTCGAGGTTCGATCCGTCGTCGTCGACGTCGATGGCGATGGCATGGCTATTGTCTTGGCTCGCTCTAATCTGATCTGTTTTATTCGCCTCGAGGCATGGCCGAACCGAGCGAAAATCGGAGGCAAGGGTTTCGGAGTCGGCAGAAAGAGTTGCCTCTGCACCAGAATGGAAAGTGTTTCAGTGTCAGGGCACAAGACGCTCGTGCGACCGGTCGTTGACGCTTTGGCCCTCGCGGGGCCCATTTCTCGCGTCGTACAAGCCTCATCTCCCGCATGAAGCTTTCGCCAGTGCATCCTCTGGTTTTCCTTCCTTATCCTACCGTCCCGACCGGCAGGACGCGCTGTTCCTTACACAGGGCATCGGTCATCAAAGTCATCCCTGGCAGAAACCGAATTAAATCCTTAGAAGAAAGAAAGTACTGCCAAGTTCAAGTCAATATAATATAATATTCATTTCATTATTATGTTAGGGGAGCGGTTAGTTGTTTTCACTTTTGGTTAATTATAACCCATAATACTATGTTCTCCTCTCTAAAAGATAACATAGTAAGTTATTTTCTGAAGAACTTTGTGATTGATAAGATTAAATTACGGGGATATATTTTCGGAATGGGTGGATATTACTTTTAAAATCGAGACCTGATCACTTCCACCAACTTTTTAGAGTGAAAATTAGAGCAGATGCAGGCGCACTGAGCCGCCACTCCCGACACCATCTTCCTGCCCTTGATCCCACACGCCAAGGAGAGCTAACCGGAGATGAATTTTGTGGCTCCGAGCACAACGTGAGTCATCCGTTACTCGGAGTCCTCGTGCGACACTTAGTATGTGGAAGAGTTTAGGGTTTAGGGGTTTAGGCAAAGCTCGGCATGACCAAAATCGCGTGCTGCAAGCGTAAAAGACATTTCAGACTCTGAAACTGCAAGACGTAGAATTGTCGGCCATTGTGCATTTGTTCGAGATGGTGGTGGTGAAAGCCCATCTGGCCATCAGGTACTACTGCAAGATGTTCATGAAGCAAATGGAGGTGTTGGGCTATTTAGTCTGGAGTACTCTGGCCGAAATCAAGCCTCAAACTAAGTTTCTGAAGAAGTAACACACCACATTCGTGTTGGAATCGCGGCTCAACAAAACCGTATACAATTGCTTTGAAAATGACAGCTTCAACGACACGGATTCACGAGAATTATCAATTTCGAGAAGAGGTGCATCGCCAGGACTCAGGACTTCCGGAGTTTGAAGCTGGTGGAAGCGATCCAGGTCATTATTTTAGAAGTAGCATCAACCCACTTCGCAAAAACTACATCCTCGTCTCATCATATGACGAATCACGGATCTCTACACAAGATAGTATAGTAAGGTGAGAGATAATTAGCCAAAAGTGAGGGATAACTAGCTACTCACAATAATTAATTATATCCATGAAAATGTATATGTGGCAAGAAGATACTGCATTTCAAGATAAACAAGTTCCTATATTTTTTTTTACAACAAATACTATATATCAATAATCGAGATGTAAATAAATTTGAATGTGTCTTTTGAGAAAATCAACGCGTGATACAAAATTTCCAATTTTGGCAAAAAAAAATAACAATTTTAGCCAAAGACTTGTCACATAAACATTATTAAGACGAGAGAAAAACAAGAGGTTAACAACAAGCATGCTTATTTTAGTCAATTGCCTAAATTAGGCGGTTGAAAGAAATCAATCAGAATTAGAAGAAATCTATGGATATATAATCCATCTATAACTTCAACGCATTGGCATTCTTGAAGACCAGCTGCGCTTAAAGGCCTCGGCTCTAGAACTGAGACTTGCGTTGTCCATGATTTTTTCAATCTTGCTACTTGATGACAATCTAGGCTTTCACGTCATGTGTTAGATATCTCTCAACAACAACATAACAATTGAAAAAGATTCACCACAAAGTACTAAACTCTGCAACTCTGAATTATAGATAAAACGCTCTCGAAGAAAGCTTTCGAACAATGGATTAACGTTTTCAAAGAATCTCATCTTGATAAACACGCTTAAAAATGTCAATATGATTGACAAACAGTTCAACATCATGAATCAATGGAAATCAGTCGAATACTAAAGCGTTAGTGTCACAACAAAATATGCACCGCTCATAACCAACTTCTAACAGTTCTAATTCTAATCACGCCAAAATTCTTAAACATAGCTTCTGAGTAGATACTAGATTATGATGCAAATTTTAAAATTCTAGAGTTTACGTTTTAGAATAATATTGGGTCAACAGTACGCCTGCAGAATGTTAAAATGCAAAAAATTTAATTTCTAAATCAATTTTTAGTTTTGAGTATATAAATGTCTAGATGCATATTTGAAGACAGACCATGCAAATAATTTTGAGTATAAGTAGCATTTTGAACCTAAACACTTTGATCCATTAAGGTCTCCACACGATGATGGTTGGATGTTTCCTCCACATTGGAGTCCCAACTGCATTAATTTAGACACCAAAACGCATTTTAATTTAGATCATTTAGACGTTGTTGTAAACAATTTCCTAAATTGCGCATGCATGTATATCATTATCTTGATATGCTAATGAAAGTGGTTTGATGATGTTATACACATATTACATATTGACTCTTAAATTTGACAAATCTAAAAAAAATAAAATCAATGAGTTGGCTTTGAATTTGATTTAACTTTAAAAATAAATAACAAAGCTTTAAATGAGTTGGATTTGAATCAAAGTCTAACATTTTACTTCATTTTAAGTAGCACTTCAATACTGAAATGTTTGAAAGTTTTTTTTAATAAATTTTACTTATTGTTTGCAATATCAATGTTCATATCATGTTGTTGCGTAATGTCAAACTTTCTTCAAATAACACATTTAAATCAGCGTGATTGTTGCGCAATAAAAATACATGATCAATGTCATTTGGCAATTTTTTTTTATCAATTGTACATTTAATAAACCAAAACTATAAGTCTTCATTTCAATAACACAGTTGGAAATAAAATTTCAAGAACATGTGTCTCAAAGATTCAAAAGTATTCTGTGATGCAAGTATGCAACAATCTAATTTGCACAATGCACATTATTCTCGCACTTTCTAAGTCAACGCTAGTGACATGTGTAATATTAATACATTGCAGTGATATGACAAAGAAATTACATTACAGTTTTCAAGTAGTATTGATGAGCTTGAATTTTGTACTCATTCCAAAATTATTATCATCCAAATCTATATAAAAATAATAAACAACAATATCAAACTTATGGTCATTCAAAACTCATGAACAAGTATGAATTTACACACCTAATGTTGGACTCTAGTGTCCAACATTCAGAATTTCAATAGTAAATGTAGCAAGAGTATTACTACTTTTTGAGCAATAAAACATGAATTTTTTTCAAACCAAGTCTTTGATGTATTTTGTTTTGACTTTGTACACTCTTGAACAATCTTTTTGTTTCCTAATGTCCATTTTCATGACAAGAAAAATCTCTATTGTACTCAAAAAAATTACTTGATGTACCCCTACGTATCACAAATAGCTTGTTGATACCCATCAAGTATTGTTTTATTCCATGAGTTTTCATCAATGGCATATGTTATCCATATTTTGATATCAACTGATAGTGCAAGAGAAAAATCGAGTTGAATCGTAACGGATGAGGAGAGACCGCAAATTGTTACAACATTTTTTTGTAGTGCGAAGAAAAATTGCATCATTTATTGGAATTTTAAAACATATGAATATCATTGCATTGCTCATAGTTGTTCAAATTTTACATGATGAAATTTGAATTTTCTACGAGAATGCAACCACACATGTTTGTGTAACTTGTATCTCCGGATGCGCTAATCTATTCTGCTTTAAATAAGATCATGAATTGATTTGGAAGTTTTTATTTTCTTTGTTATTCATTATTCACTAAGCAACGACATCATTTTTTATGGTTTAATAATTTACTTGAAAAAGTTGAAAGTTTGTTTAAAACTTGAATTTTTTGAGATTGAGTGATAGACTTAATTTTACATTCATGAATATATATACTAATTTGATCTGATATGATTGTTGATAATACAAAATTTATATACTGAAAGTAGGTCTTGGCAAGATAAGTTAACCTTTGAGGGTTACGCGGTAACAGGGTAAAAGGTAGAGGTAAAAGATAAAGGTTGAAATGTAGGTAAGGTAACGGGTAAGGTAAAGGTAGAGCTAAATGAATTATTCAATAATTACCAGGTAACTCTTTACCATTGCCAAAGACAAAATTCATGTAGGAAGTGTGACGTGTTTCTAAGGAAGCACAACGCCAAAAGAGTACTTTATTGCGTTATGGTCGCATCGTCGTCGTGAGCGAGGGAGCAGCGCTAAGAGTAAGTTGGCAGTTGAGTTCGCAGGAACGCGATTTGGACTCGAGCAGAGAATTATTGCTGTAGATGAAGCAATTGAGGATTCGTGTGTGCGATTTGGCAAAAGCATGTGATCTTGTTGCGGGTAGTTCATGAGGTCAAAGGACTATCTTTTCTCGACAAACTCTTTCTCTTTGCTCACACCCTCAATTAGAATTCAAGTGATTTTGCAGGTACCTTGGATTAGCGTGCTTTGTTGCTTATACTTTAGAAATTTTGCACGATAAGGACATGACGCCTTCGTGATCAAGTACCTTGAACAACGACATACTTTTGTGATACATGAGCTCGCCGAACTGCCAATAGAAAAAGGCGCATGACAAAACAGACCAGAATGGCATGGACATGATACATGCTGATTTCTTGTTAGAGATGATAAACTCGATCAGTGTCACGCAAAGATGATCATTGATCGACAAAGCTCAAGAATAAAATGTGTGAGCCTGGTTGGGATCAGTATTTACTTGTTTACAAAACGGATAAATTATCCTATTTACCTCTATCTTTTATCAATTTATTGGGTAACCTTTTATGGTTATCCGATGTGGATTTTCTTGTAACTTTTAAGAATGTGTAACAGGTAATTAGGTAAATTATCCTAAGATGGAGGTAAAGTATAAAGGTAGATAATAGTGGTGCGGGTAAGATAAAAGGTAAGGTAAAAATAAAGGCTCATGCATTATCCAATAACCTTTTACGTTACCTTGCCGAAGATTAATTGAAAGCAAAGATTTATCAGCGATAGTAGAACAAATATATTTACATCTGTGGCATGTAATTATTGTCAATTAGCTGCTAAAACTCATATTTAGACGGTTGAAAGATACATTTTGCAATGAATCTATCAACAATTAAGATCTTCAAAATCCCTATGAATTCATACTGTTTAGTTCTTCAATGTCATTGTAGTTAGTGTTCAGTATAAATGTTATCGATAATTTCTATTTGATTATAAAATAACGAGTTCATTAGGAGCAAACAGCCATGTTGCGTGATTGGCATATGATTAATCTACGTCAAGTCAAAATAGGAAGCAAGCTGAATTTTAAAAACATATTATAAGTTATCGGAATCGCAGTGTATGGTAAGGGGATGAGCTTGAACTAGCATTAACCAACCAGTACTACATTTGTTTAAGAGATACTAACAATCACATTTCATATCTCATAGTAAAAGCCATTTTGATCCTTCATGACATTTAAATGAATTCTTGATTCATGGTTTTATGAGTTGAAAGTTCATTTTATTAGGTAATAATCTCTTGAGTAGAATGACATTTCAGATGGAACATCAATTCATGAAAACTTTGTCGGTTGTGATTCACGGGTGCTATGACTTTTAGAACTTTGTTACAAGGGTTGCAACAACCAATGAATGATCTCAACAAATGACAAATGCATCGTAAGAGATATTATTATAGCAATTGTCATGACAGCAGTTGATGCAGTTAGCTTCAAGAAAAATTTAAACCAAAAAATAGGAAAATAGATTTCTAGTCTTGATGACTTGCACAGTGTTCAAAAGAGTTTTGGCTTGTTCAGAAGTTCAGTCCGTCAAATTTGTAGATTGATTGATTGCAATATTCGCTTGAGATACAAGGCCATTTTTCTTTGTCTTCATGACATGCATTATGAGAAGCTAACTACAAGTTGTGTAGACTTTGCAGTCTCTCTGTTTTAAAATTGTTGATGTAGAAAGATATTGAATCTGATTGAATATTCCCCCATTCACATCATATACAAAAATTGAATTTTATTTAATCATTGCATGGTCCTTGATTAACTTTTTGAAAGTATTTTGATCGCCCGTTATTGTGTACACATTTAATCTACTCAAAAAATTCATCCATACAAGATCCACATCAACTTTGTAGCAAAAACTTTCTTTAAAAAAGGTTGAGTATCTCATCATGATTTTTTTGTGGTAGAAATTATCCCCTCATGAACAATTGATGATCTCAATTTTTTCTGCAATCTTGTGAACAGTGTGCTGATAGGTGAAGATTTGCTGGAAATTTTTTACTGAAACCAACATAGTGACCATTATCTTCTAACAAAGTTCGGTTAGTTACAATATGAGCTTTTCCCTTGGTGATCTTGTACCTTTCCTTCTCATCAAAAATAAAAAATCGATTTGTCTTGCACGGAATTAACACCAAGAAATGATGTATGATGTGAAGATCAATTTGAATCATATTGTTGATGGGGGGACGTTGAGCTATATTGGCAAGGATGTTTATGCTTACTCTACTGTTCCTACTCATTTTGTCATGGACAAATTATATCTTGATCCAACGCTAGTTAATTCATGTGGCACTGGGTTGCTGCATGCTTTGTATGAATACTCCTCATCCGTAGCCACATCGTCGACGCCTACAAAAGCATAATGTGATCATCACGTCCTATCATCAACACTTTCTCTACACTCACAAAGTCACTCATGCAAGCAATGCCCATGATACTTTTTTATATCCACATAATCATTCATGCAAGAAATGCTCATGATGGACAAGATTATCATAATTATCTTGGGTACTACATTGGCAAAACTTGCAACCAAGTTGGAACTTTGAAACGATAACTTACTCGCATTATAATCAACAAAATATATGTGCAAGAATTAAAAAATAATTTGATGACAATCTTTCATAGGTTAAAACTATATATAATTGATTCCAATAAGAGATTTGTGTCACACAATATCAATCAAGTAATTTTCTTATTGTGCTCTGAAATAATTTACTCTAGAGCATTAATGTATTGAGATGCGTCTACATTTATCCCGTGAAGAATAAAGATCTTGACTATCATGTAGTGACTCATAATATTAGACTAAAATTTCCAACACTTTTAGATCAAGTCAAAAGCTTTGAACTAGTGACCTCTTCCTCTCAACATTTTGTCAAAATTCTTTGTCACAAGAAGATCACGCTCTTGCCTACCTTCACCTTAAGTTTCAAGCACAAAGCGATCTAAAACTCCTTCTGTTTCTCTCTCTCCCCTTGTCTTGACTCATGAATGCAGCCAGCGATGAAAGAATCAGAATTTGTTGATTTTTGCATAGAAATCAAAGAGTCTTCGAACCCCTATGCACTCACATGCAATCAACCGAATGAATGAATCGAGTGAGGTTGCTTTCACGAGCGAGCCAACAAACGGTAGGAAGGGTAGGACGTGATAAGAGAAGAGTAGCAGCAGCAGCAAATCAACTTGGCTTTGGAGGAGAGGAAGGCAAAAATAGGAGGAAATTTTAGATGGAGGAATTAGAAGAGATAGCAGCACGGACACTATAATTTCAATTGTTTAATCCCTAAACGTGACATGCAAGCACACACAAACCCGGCCTTTCAGCAATGCAGATACAGATTCTTCCGTCCAAATTTTATCTTGTTCTGAAGAAGTGTCAAACATACATTAAGAAGGATCAGGTTGAAAATTTGAGGGCTACTCAGCGAAGTTTCGATGGCTGTTCAAGCATGGACCCTACCCTCGATGAGAATAATTATAGTGAGGACAAATAACAATTGAAAATTCCAGTCAGAAAAAGTTAAAACTCACATTTAATCAATCTTCAGATGAGTATGTGCACAGATGGTTCACTCTCCTTTAAATTTGTAAATAATTCACATTCGAGAATGACCGATTGATGGTACTTGATTCTTGATATATATATATACAAGAACATCCAATAATACACCTAAATACCCCGTCATATACTACATGATGAACCGCTGATGGCAAAATCATAGTAGACACCAATTGTTGTACGTATTTGTCTATGATTCAATAGAAGATTTCGTGTCTTTCCTACTTACCTCCAAGTGAATTTGGTAGGTTCAAAACATGCATTTACTTCTGAAAATTCCGTAATCTATTTACACCGAAACATTGACGTTTATAATAGTTTGGATACTTTTTTTATTTATCTATTTGCAACCAGTAAAAAGTATCTTATCCACACCAAGTTACATACACTACTGCATCCATGATATAATACATATGTATATATTTGTACTACCAAAATAGGAAAAAAATGAATGAGATTAATTCTCTTCACCTATGTATAGATTCAAACACAAAAACATATAACAAGTATTAGATAATACATTTAATAAATTTAAAATAAATAGAATATCCAATTTAGTAATGACTAGGACATTTACCTCTCGTGAACAGAGGGCTATGCAGAGGAATATTATACATAACTGAAAATAAGATGTTGTGTTGACTGTTTATTTGGAACACAAGCAGCCATTTTCCAAGGACATGCACGGCGAAATCTGCCCAACGGCTGTCACCACAAAGAGAGACATCGGTGACCGGTTACAGGACCGGTTACCGGTGTGAGAGAGTGAACAAGTGGCAGACTTAGGCTTAAATCCTTCCAACCCTCGAAGAAATCAGTTCGGAATTGCTCCGAACTCTTCGCCCTCGATTTGATTAGTGGGCCTGCGAGTTCATGTCGATTTGTCGATTTAGATCAGGTTGCAAAGTTGAAGTCTCTGTACAAGGCGATGTGCCGTGAAGGCCGTAATGGATAAGATGGAAGAACTGTAATTTACAGGGGTTGGCACAAATCTCGACGACCAGCTTTGAAGCTGAAAAATCTTGAGGGGAGTGAATGTTGTGACGTGCTAATAGAAGAAGCGGCCCGATAGAGGGTCTGGCAGAATCACGAGTTGTCCAAATTCTTCTTCAACAGTAGAGTCAACTGACAGGTCGATCTCACATAACAATGCCGAATCTAACCATGCGGCCTTTTCTCCGTCTTCTGTGCGCTCCGCAATTTCCCGCGCCCAGTCACGCGTGTAGATTGTCTATGCTTTCGTACAAGGATTTGGTGTATGATTCCGTCCAGCCGTCAAGAATTGGGCACTCATGTTGCACTTCCTCTCCGTTCGCTTGTTACTCGAATCTCCGGAAAAGAAAAGAGTTCAATGGCGATGGAGATACTCCGAAACGTTGGTTCACGAGTTCAGGATTCACATCTGTTGCCCACAGCTGCAGTGAAGAAAAGAAATTAAGGAGTAGAGTCGAAATGCAAGCAGCGCGGAATGCCGGTATTTGATTCTTCCTGGAGCTGCAATTATGGTTCAAAGAATTCAGCACCTTTTTGCTTTGGCTGGATAGGAGAACCCAGAGAATGCGAGGAGGAGAGTCGGCCTCAGACTTATCTTCTCATGATGTGGCTTTGCATATCATAATATTTTGTCAATGAACTCCAGGCTCCAAATTTTCTAAAGAATTTGGAACTGAGATGTGACTGGAACAAAGATGTGATCGTCGAACTATTGTTTCTTCAAGGTTTTTTCGTGAGTGAAGTTCGAATTCAGCTCAGGCCACTGACTCCTGCAACCCGCTCCCTCTTTATTTGGAGATGGAATGCTGACAGAGGCGAAGTATGAAGACTTAGAGACTTGGAGCAGGGGAGGAGGGTTTGTACATAACCTGGCACAGGTTAGTTGTTGAGTTTACTTTTGCTTCTTTCCCTGTGATCCGTTTTAGTAGACAAACGATTGTGATTTCAGATGGAATCAGAAAATATGACAGGACTGTGACCTCATTTGTTAAATATTGGGATCATGGTATGGATGAGAGAAGATTTTCATGGTGTTGAATAACTTATGTGTCATTATGTGCAGGTTGATGAGACTGTTGTGGTGGAGGTTGGGGCAGTAGTGCATGCCTATGCGCTTATTGGACCTAACTCGCACATCTCTTCAGGATCTATTGTGGGAGATCACGTTGTCATCGGTTCAAATACCCGATTGGGGTAACTCAGATCCCATCACTTTATTACAGATTATGACAGCATAGAAGTTGCTGTATCTCCTCACGTACATATAAAGCGGAAGCGGAATTGGCAATGTACTCAACTCTTGAAGGAAATTCTTTGTCTTCAAGGAAAGTGAATCAGTTCAACGTTGTCCAACAAGATGCTTTGCCAGTAAATATTGAGCAGGCATGCAGTCAACTTGCTTCTGCTTGCCGACTCCGCTCACATCTGAGAATTGGGGACTTTGTTACTTGGCAGCTTCAACGTGTCACTCCAGAACTGCTCGGTTGGGGATTCATGCACTCTGCATAACGGGGTCTGTGTCGGCCAAGATGGTAAATGTCTGTTCGGGACTCTCCTCGATACTTTTGTCTTGAAGACAACCGAAGTTTTTAGCCATGGTTCAATGTCCTAGAAATCACAGTTGGAGTTACTGATAAGTCCTCCAGTGGTGCAGGTTTTGGTTTCACAATAAATGATAAGGGAGAGGTCGTGAAGAAACCCCAGGTGATTATGAGGCCATGTTTCACTTAACTCTTTTTTGATATCTCGTGTTATAAAGTAGTTGTAATTGTACCGGACATAGTCCTGATGTGTTTCATGTTTACTTGCAGCTTCTTAAGGTTCAGATTGGAAGCTTTGTGGAGATTGGTGCCAATTCGTGTGTTGATAGGGGAAGGTACTTGATTATATGCCTTAAGTCTCTTGCATGTTTTTGATTGTATGAATTCAATACTACAAGGAGAATGCTATGGCTTACAAAGAAGGCGGGGGCGCGGGGTTTGAGCACAACGTAAGGTACTTAATTTTCGAGAAGCCAAGTAACTAATGGTCTCAAGCAGATGAATTCAACGAAAGAAGATTCCGTTAAACCACGTGCTTGAGTGCGTCGATCGAAGGGATTTATAGCATTGCAATTAAAGAACCACGAGCTCTGAGCACACTCTTGCCAGCATGTAGCTGGCTTCCAGTTTTCTAGAATTTTTGAGTTCCAAGCGAAGAAATTTAGATCTTGGAACGAACTTGTTGGCACAACCTCAGATGTCGAGCTCCGCCCCAGTGCCTAGCAGTCGAAGCTAGCGCATCACAACATAGCTCGAACCAGAGGGTTTCGGGCACGAAATTATACTAAGAAAGGGGAAGTCATGAACCTATGGGCTTGGAAGCGCCGAAACTTTCGAAGACTGAGATTGCCGTGATTGTCTTTCGTTAGTTTCATCTTAGTTTTATTTAGAGGACTTCATTTAGAACCCTAATTGGCTCAACTACATTTTGCAAGTTTGCAGTAGCTAATCAGCAGTTCATGTTACTACGGTGATTGTGGCGCTTCTGGATTATGTCAGCTGGCGTGATACAGTGATTGGAGACCACACCAAGATTGACAATCTGGTGCAGGTAAATTTAGAACCTGAGCTATCTGAAGAGATTTTTTTTTTTTTCAATTTCAAAGTCATTTTTCCGTGTGGAATAAGCTCAACTTTTTTTTGCATCTACATCAGAACGCTATAATGCTCCTGTAAGTTTCTTGCCGTCTTCTCCAGAACCCCAGATACTATTTACAAATTTGGGTACTGATTATTCCAGCTGACGATAATCTGGACAATGTACCAAACCTTCTGTCGGCCGCGTTCTCGATTTGATTGTAAATGTATTGGATAATTTCACAGATTTGAATCTGACCATCCGTTACACCTACGCCTATGTACTGGTGCATTTTACAAGACTTCATTAGAGCAGTAATCTAACTTGAGAGAGAGAGGTGGTCATGAACAGATCGGTCACAATGTGGTCGTAGGGCGTTGTTGTTTGCTCTGCGGACAAGTCGGACTAGCTGGGTCCTCCACGTAAGTGAGCTAGTATATATATATAACGAGGCATCCAGATCTGTATAGGAGTTGTTGGGATGTTTGTAATGAACGTGGCTTCTCTTGAGAATCTCCCATCGTTTAAGTTACGAGGTGGCATCGAGAAAATGTATACAAGCAGGTTAGGCTGTCAGAAAATTTGCAGAAGTGAGTCTTGATGCGACTCTGACACCCTAACCTGCTTGTACACATTTTATCGATGCCACCTCGTAATTTCAACTTTATGCAGTAAAGATCTCAATTCCTGTGCTATCATTATGTCCTGCCTCTTAAGATTGTTTTTCTTAGCCAGGTTGAGTGAAGTAGTGACCTCCCAAGTACTTTGCATCTTTGGTGCAGGCTTGGTGATTATGTCGTAATGGGAGGAAAGTCTGGAGTTGCTGATCACATTTCTATTGCCTCAAAGGTAACATTCAACGCGTGGTAACAGATTTGAGTTCTTTAGTATACGTCCAGTTCCAGAATAATCTGCTCTGTTGCTATTTCTCATTATTGTATTGAAGGCATGGACTGTCACCATTTTCTCCACGCTGATTTTACATCCTTTTCGTATAATCAGGTTCGTATAGCTGCCAAGAGTGCCGTAATTTCGCACATTACGGAGCCAGGTGACTATGCCGGATTTCCAGCAGTAAGTTACCGCTCCCTTTCTTCATCAGCTTCCGCTCCCTTGTTACCCGCCTTCCTGAGATTAAAGGAGATAATCATGATGCACTGTTCTCATCTACTATATAGAAAGTACACTTCATCCCTTGAAGAAGATAAAGGAGCATTCAAAATCAAGATTTCTTTTGTTAGTAGTCATGTCAATTACTAGCTGAATTTTGAACCGATAATTGTTTGTTGCAAACTGAGCAGGTTCTTGCTAAAGAATGGCGGCGATCAATGGTCGCTCTTCGAAAACTTGGTAGACGTGGCGATAGTGAACCTCTCTAGTTCTAGGAAACAACATTGTCCTGCAAGAAGTCTCTGCCGCTGTGAACCTTCACGGGAGGGGCAGCATCTTCTGAGCTGTAAATACGCAGACCGCCAGTTTGCTTGTAGTTAGATCATATGCAGGATTTGAACGTTTTATGTTGTATCTTTCACTATTACTCCATATACAGTACCTTCACACGAGGATTCTATTTTGAAAATAGCATCCAGCAATGAGGATATGTGGTATGGTCCCGCTTGACTTAGAATAACCCAGACTACTACGTGTGGTTTCTCGCACGAAAAGCCTTGTCTTAGCTCTGCGTTGATTCAACTCTTAACCGTGTTATACACTGAACTATCTTAGAAGTCAAATCTCGTTATGCGAACTACACAGAACTTCTCGCTTAGAGGATGATATGTTCTTTTCGTCTTCTTCTTGGCTGTGAAAGAGTTAGCATATTTATGATCATGCCACAATAAACATCTTGTTGAAGCGCACTTGGAAAATTAGTGACAGATCTTTGTTATCACATCTCCAAAACTATCCCATGGATATTAATCTGAAAGGCTTTCCGGGGGAGGAAGACTTGCAGGTAAATTACTCGGGATACTATAATGTAGTCGATCCTAAGTAGTGTGACCACCTGACTCTGTAAAGTTCTTCAGTGTATCCAGGTACGTAAAGATTGTGAGTTTGTTTCATGTATGTATTACTTGTACAAACTCAAAGCCTTGGATGGTCCGAGCTTGCTGCCCAAGGTTGCGCATTCACGACAAAGACTGATGGTAAGAAGACCACTGTCGATCCATCGTGAATTCCGCAACAGTCCTGCGCAAGTTGCAGGGCTGCACGACTCAACCAACTTATAAAAGGTCTCGAGTTATTAGAGGGGAACAACTCTAATATCCAATCAGGACTGCAAAACCATAGGGCTACAAGACTAATCTTCACATTGCGGATTTGCAGCGGCCTTGCTCAAGTCTAAGATAAGGAATAGAACAATCGAGGTGACCCCTAGGTCACCAGTAAGGAGTTCAGTTGCCTACAATGAAGTGGAACGTTGAGTACTTTTTTCCGTTGAGAAAATCACTTCCTTTGGTATCAGCAGTTTTCTGGCATAGCAGTTGAGATCCATTTTGTTCCATTTACTGCATCTATTCATCACATCCGCTGGCCAAGTAAACTCTCACTGAGTGCTTCAAGATTCTCTAACTTTTCTTGCAAGGCAATTGTTGAAGATTCTGCAGCTTGCTTCTTCCTCTGTGATTTTACGAAGAGGTCCTTTCCAGCCCCTGGGTCTTGGGGAGGTATGCAAATAATATATTGGGGCAACGATTCGTCGTTTGTATTCGGACAGTCCGAAAATGCCGTGGAACTCCTACAGGACTGAGATACTTGACTGGGGTCTGGTTGTGCTCTTGAGTCGAGATGGTCCGGACCATTTGGTGAAGAAGGAACGGGAGAAATTTCCGCCTCGCGATTCTTCTCAAGCAGTGAGTCCAAACTTCTCGTGTTCATCTTTTGGTTGTCCTTAGGTTGTTTCCCGGAGGAAACGTAAGACTTCTGTAGTTTAGTAAGGTACGATGATATCAAGTCTTCCTCAGTTTTCTTGAGCTTCGAATCTTGTCTTGTCTTTTTAGCTGGTGTAGAAAGTCTACTGCTCGACAAGCTCTGGCTTTCTGTCCTTCTGACCTTTGTTGTATCCTTTTTATCCTTGTGTTCCTTCTTATCATTGTTCTCTTGCTCTGCTGGCTCTTTTTTATCCTTCGTTTCCTTCTTATTTTTGTTATCTTGCTCTGCTGGCTCCGATGAGTTGCTTTTTTGCTTCAGGGGTTTCTTTCTCTCACGTTTGACATCCACAATGGCCGTTTGTGTCTCTACCGATCTCACAGAGAGCGAGCTATTTTCCAAGTATTCGGGCTTGCATTCAATCGACATAATGCTCTGTGAAGATTGGGGTGTGTGCAACTGACTTCGTTGAGTCTTGTCAGCAAATATCTTGGCAGCAGAAGAGTTGAGAATGGGTCGCCAAAATTTTTTCAGTTTGTTAAGGAGTGCGTTCTGCTCGTCGAGAAGACCATTCACCTCTATCTCTTTGGCATCCAAGCTTTTCCTGAATTCACTGTAACCATTTCAAGGAGCTCATATTACAGCAAGTTTCGCATTGATAAGAGTAGAAGTTGGGCAATAATCTTGAACTCGACTGTATGTTTGTGGGTACATAGAAACGCACCCAAGCATTATATAGACTAGTAGAGTGTGTGCACTGCTCAACTTAGATGTAAATGTGTGAAATTTAGATGTTATCTCCACAAAACATGTACAACGACTTGAACACGAAACTGAAACATACTTATCTCTTTGATTCAACGTTTGTACAAACTCCTGTTGTTGCTGCGATAATTTACGCTCCAACTGCAACGCATGGGTAAACCAAAAATGGGCATAGGTTCTTACATTTTCACGAAATTCCATGAAATCATTCTCTCAAGTTCTCTTTTTCTACCATTCTGTTTAACTCCTTGCCCACAACGTGATCCTTGCAAAAAGGAGGGCGCTTAACACAGGAAACAGGATTGAATAGTTGTTCCACATTCGCTCTGACTCATGATCTAACAAACTGATAGTTGATGTAGACTGCCTCTTGATCCGAATCGCAGAACTGATGTCGCCAATATGTTAACAATGACAGAAATTCAAAAACCACTCGTGCCCACCAGGGCTAAGAGCTTGTTAGAGCACTCAACATAGATGAAAGGATAGTAAAGACCTGATGATGGGCAACTATGCTTTTCGTATGCTCATTTTGAAGCTTTGAAATCTTTTGTTGTAAAGATTGTACAGTCTACAGCCATCCACAATAAATCGTTGCGGCTTGTGAGAACGAGAAACAGGTGCGGTTGCCTCCTAATACGCCAGTATGAAATCTTTGAGCAACATTACACGAGTATAGATGATGGATGTGAGAAAAACTAGTAACCACTAGCTTCAATTCGTCACTAGTATAGGTAGCTCATAATAAAGATTGTGCGCTAACAACATATGTGATTAGCTCACTCCGATGTGTGCCTACATTTATTATTATAAATGCCTGAAAAAAGTACTGTCAGTACCTGAGAATGTTGGCGTTTTATTGCCACAAGGTCACGTTCAGCTTGCTCCTGTGCCTTTCTGGTTGCTTTCTTCACTGCTTCTCTCCCTTCTAATTCTGCTTTTCCTATCCTTTCCTGCCAGTGGTCATTTCCGGTTTATTCCAGTTTATATAGTCGTCGTCCCTGAAAAGCTTCTTATTTCTCTTTCAAATTTGTCTCTAGACACCTTGTAGATTGTACGGGCATTACCCCATCGTTTCAAGAAGGGCCTTCCAAGGACCTGCAATTACATTCTTCTCATATCTACCACAAGGAAGGCTAGGATCTTCGATCAAAGTTTCAAAACCCACAAGTTTAATTCTATCCTGGAAATAAGACACTGATTTTGGTTTGAGCGGCCAACCTGCAGCTCTCTTGCATGTAGACATTCTTCAGTCAACTGAGATTTGGTTGCAGCCAACAGCACCTTCATAGTTTCAGTCACAAAATGCATTAAGACCTTGGTAGATACCTGGTTTTACCCAGTCTCATGTGTGGCTGAGGTGAGTGAGTAAACAATCAGTTTCGGCTCTCCAGCAATAGTGCGAAACAACAATTACAAAAGAAAAACTTCGAAGTTCAACGTGTCAAGGGCACAAGGGCAATGCACGATCTTCCACTTGAAGCTATCTTCTTAGAAAAATTTGGCGGGGCAAGAACCTCTAGTTGGTTTGCGCGTCCAGTGTTGTCATTTGCCGACCGCCTCACAAACTGCTCAACGGCTGCTCGATCTCTCCTCCTTTCTGCTCGAGCCTTCTCTATATTCTCCTCAACCTTTTCCCGGTGCGTGAGTGTACCTAAGGCATACTAAGATCCTACAGTGTCAGGCCCGCAGAAGCTGGTCTGAGGAGAAGCCTGTGTAGGAACTTTGTATGCACCTACCACTCAATTTGATAAAAAAGTAAAATTAGCCAGTAATTGAAGCACGGTGCACTAAAACAGGTTTGCAACTTTCTAATTAAGAATGTACTAGATGAGTAAAATTAAGGTCACGTCCGGGTTCGAGATCTTTGATCCAGATGTTTGAGATAGACTAACCGGTTGGTTTCGTGTCGGAACATGCATGCCTTAGAACCATCATTACTTGATGCTCACTGAAACTCAGTCGCCTCACATACAGGTCCAACCTGCAACCATCCGCTGGCAAACACCAGAGCAGGCAAATCTAAGACATGTCCAGAAGAGTTCGGCATCCGTCTGTTGGTAGATTGACAGATCAGAGTATTTCAGCTGCCTATTTCACATGCCTTCGCTCGGCAAAGGTGTTTGTTCAAGTACAACTACAAGCTTGAGTCATGAGGACCTGCTGAAAGCATCCGCCAGTCGTTCGAGTTGGAGAAACATTATGGCGGAGTGTTCGTCGACATGACTGCATAATGACTCCACTGCTGCCCGGGTAACACCCGTCACTGTCCCCTCCATCTCGTGCTTCCTCCTCGCAGCTTCAGCTCTCATTGTCATCTCGGCTAGCCTGGTCGAGAGGAGTGCACAAGTTGCAGGCAATCTAGCTTCTCAACTATAGAGGGAGCATTTTGATTTGATTACAGATATTTTGCCATACTATGTCATCCTTTGGAAGAGAAATCATAGTTATCTTCACTTTCGCGTTTTGCAGAACTTGCTGACAAGATTAAAACCACATGTAGATGGAAAATACAGAACAGGAAAATTTTACTGACTTCTGTCCTGTTGTGAGAATTCCAATTTCAGCTTGCAGGTTTCTCTCCTTCTGCTTCAAGACCTATCAGACGAGGAAACAGAAGCTTGGCAGGTAGGATGATCAGTCTTAAGATTATCCTTCGGAATGACGGAGCGAGGAAATCGTTTGCTTCTGAAGACCTAACGTGAACACATTCAATTTAGACCAAGCAGGTCGTCTCAGAAAGAATTCTATCTAACGTTACAGCACGTCTGACGCTACACCGAACGACATTTAACTGCTCCTTGTTTTAGATACAGGCTTTGATGTAATTTGCCTGATCTCTACCTTCGTTAAGGTACAAGCAATCTCGAGGGGATATAAGTTTACCTCGATCAACGCTCGGGCCTCGTGAAGTTGCACTGTCAGGTGCTGCTCTTTCTGCGTACGCTGCAGCCTTTGCTGCTCGACTTGCAAAGCATCCACCCGTTGTTTCAGCAACAAAATGCAGACCTCACGTCGCCATCGGGTCAAGAGCTTTTCATACTTGGATTTCGATTCCTCGTCGCCATCCATTTGACTGCACAATTCGGTCTCCTGGATTTCAACCACCTTAGATGTCGCATCGAGGCGGATCTGAAGTAGAGCAACCAAGTCTCTCAGTCGTTTGATTTCATCCGGCACAGAATCGACCTCCTCGCTTGCAGCTGAGATGGTCGTCTCATCCTTTCCGACGATGGCAGAATTGAGACTGGATGGAAGTATTACTTCATCGATACCAGGTAGCTCCGCCAATGGAGCTAGGGTTTGCATAAAACTCTCAAAAGATTCATAGTTTCCACCTTTACAAGGTTTAGCGACACCTTGTTGTACTACGATCACACCCTCGGCTGTTGATATCGAATGATCATCCGCCTTTTCCATGGGACTGATTGAATTTCACTTAGTCTTTCACACACAGCCTGGCCAGCCCGCCCCGGAAATTGACTCCCATCAACAACTTAGGACGATTACGGACGACAGAACATCATCACACACAATTCAGCCACTCCAGCCGCAGTATGTCACGGCGAACATTTCTGACATCTGCACTATCGATCCGGCGGACTTCTTCCCGACGTGTATCTTCTCAGCACAGCCTTACTCATTCCTTCTACGGGATTGTACACCGTATCATGAGCATTGTGTTCATTCGTCCTCAGACAGTGAATTTATGCTCACTCACCAATTGTGTGCACTTATGGTTTGTGGATCTTCATCATAATTGGCAGGGGCAGGGCTGCGACGACTTAGCAGCTACAAGAAGTTCGACCTCGAGGTAACCCATGCGCTGGACATATCTCATCTCATAGTTTCTTATTCGATTCGATCGATTTGGGTCAGAGGTGGTCCAGGGCAGAAAGCCCACCAAACCACGAACACGAAGAATACGTCGCTTACGATCGTCGACAGTACGAATCTAGGAAGTGTGGTGTTGTGTGCTCGAGATGGGATGCGTAGGCGCTGCGGACGGCGAAAGAGATCGAATCTCGCGGACCAAGAACAAATTTATCCTTCCATCCAAATCATTCATTCTGTGTAGTCGAAGAGTCACAATATTGCGTTGTACACACTAACTACACCAAATTGAAACGTAAAAAGGCTCGAGAAATCGATCGCAGCTGTGTTCACACGGTGCGTGAAGACCTGTCTCCATTACCATTTACCATAAGAATGGGATTCTTCGAGCACAAGAAGCAGCGAAATGGCACCAGATTCTTCCGATAGCTGCAACTGTGGTTCAGGAATTTCAAACTCCTTGGAAGGATTTGGCTTAGATCGAAGGTTCCACATTCCACATATTTGTCATGTTAAAGCGGCATGTCTCAGATTGCAGCGAACAGTCGTGTGAATAGAAATCGGGCTGACCCAATGAGCAGATCGCATGAAGCTCGAGCTGCTGATGACTCTCGCCACCTGTTCTTTCTTCTGGGTCGATACAAACAGCCGTCAAAGGAGGGAGAATTCTACTGCGGGAGATTCGGATGCCTATAGAAGGGTTGTGGTTCATCTGTAGGAAGCGAGTGAGGTTAATACGTCGTAAGGTTTCATTACATTCTGCATTCTGCTAAGCGATTCCACTCGAAGACGAGATATAAATATATGATTTCAGTGTCATCACCAGGCACATGAGATCCGGCCTCGTAGACAGATGGATGTTCGCATCGATCGATTCATTCTCGGCTGTTGAGCTGTGAAGAAAAGAGTTCAGAGGTGTCAGTGACTTCAGATTCATGTGCACTCCTCCTGTGCATAAACACGAAGTCGAGGACTGGATTTGGTAATTCCTATTTCATGAGTTTGTTGTGCAGGTAAAGCAAGGCAGCCAGCAGAGTATGGCCACAGGTAATTTGGGCATCCCAATTCGCGCGCTCTTGAGAATCTGCTCGTGCAGCTGAAGTGGTCAGCCATTTCATTAGCCGACTAAGGTATCGGATCCCGTCACTCTTTGGAGAGAGAGATCCAAGTAGCTCGTTAGTTACGTAGGACCTGTGCTGCAGTAAAATCCCAGTCTTTGACAAACTTTGCCGGATTGTACTCTCTCCAGAAGTAGGTCACATCAAATAATTGAGGTAGTTTGACATGGTTTGGTATTTCTCTTCATACTCCTCCTAATTACAGCTTCTCAAGCCTGAGAGAAGATGTCATAATTGAATTGAACGCAACCTCAACAATTCGACTTTGCTTAAAGTAGAAAAAACGTTGTAACAACCCATTAGTCCATGCATGTTACAACAATGAGAAATGTATTATCCAGCATGAAGAATGTGTGATTTCTAATATTTTGAAAAAGCATTGATTAATGGTATATTGCCGTTTCATTTACAATGATTGCTTTTTGGTGCATAGCACTAGTTAGTGATGTCTAGAGATATAACTAAAATGATTTTTGTTTATTTATATCATCAGCTAATGATTTGTGTACTGTAATGTAATGAAAATCTCTTGATAGACACTATGACGAATTTACTTTGGTAGAATTCAACAAAGTAGGCCTCTGGAATGTTTTGAATTTATGGCACCCGTGTACAAAATGTTCTCAAGAAAGAGAGCGACGATGTCTTATACATGCGGACCAGCCTGAGACGTTTTTCGGTGAATGGTGAAGTCTCGGGGGTGCATATCTATTAGATATGCCCCCCCTGGAAAGCAAGCGTGTTCATTAAAAGCACAGATGATCAGCAAATACTCGAAATAATCATGATGCATCTCCAGAGCAGCGATTTGGTTGATGTCTGAATCTGGGACTTGATAAACCCAGATAGATGTTTAGAATATACACTGAATATGACTGATATATCTCTAGAGCATAGGATTGTTTAATATTTCAATCTTATGAATGGTTAAGTTTCAATGTGGATAAGTAGGGTACAGTTTACACTAGATCCCCTCCCTGCGTATGCATGTAATGCTGATATATGTTCACTCCTGACAAGTGATGAGCGTCGTTGCAGTGTCCATTCTAAGAAGGCTGAACGATGGATCAACGGTGCACCCAGTGATCTGCAACATTCCACAAACAGAACAGAACATAAATTCTGAATTCAGGAAGTTGGGAGAGGGAGAGAGAAAGAGAGAGTATGCGAACAAATGGAGAGGCTGGTCGTCAAGGAAGGCATCGGTGGCTATTCCGGGAGTAGTTTTTATTTTAATTTTATTTATAAAATTTACATTAATTTAGAAAAAATAAATTAAAAAATCCATAATTCTGCATACGTGTCCACTCTCCATTGGTTATAACATGTAGGCGCCAAATCGCACCTCCCTTAATATGAGGACCGGAGTTTCTCGTCGCGGGACGGGGCTCAGCGAGGAGGACCCGTCCCAGGAAAGTACTGAATAGAAGATATCCGGGAATGTTCGAAGAATGTTCGGCGAATCCAACAGTCCACAAGCTCGAGCTGAAGCACGAGCACGGATGGATGGACGGACGGACGGACGGACGAGCGAACGAGCGAGCTCCATCGATTCTGCATCCGGTTGTCTACAGGGACGTTGGCGTGACCTGCACGTGATGCCTCACGTTTCGTGCTTCGTCAGCCAGCCACAGGCATCGCATCCTCCGACGGCCTGCGGGGCCTTCATGACCGCGATGCTGTAGGAACCTAGCCCCGCGTTACCCGTCGGGTTTCAGCCGTGCGACATGTGCACGGTACTGTGTGGGCAGAGAGCCGGTGAGAGCAGAGTAGACGAGTCAAGAAGAAGGGGCAGGGCTCGAGGGTGGAGGTGGAGCTGGCGAGCTGTCGGAATCGTGCGCTGAACCGTGTCGTCGCGGCGATCAGCGAGCGAAATTGCCGACAGTGATTTGCAAATCGATATATTCATGTCTACGAGAAGTGGATTCTTGTTGGGGATCTCGTTGGATAAACGTCCTGTGATAGACAGCTACCTCGAGGTGTCTCGTGGGCACTCGTCGAGACCTTGCACTGCGTGGAATCGATCCCACACGATGGAGAATCGCTCGTCTCAGTCTGGGGTTCCCGGCCCACGCCCGAAGAACGATACCCTTTCTGCGCTGAAAGGCGTTTGGACGCGGTAAATTTTTCACTTTCCTCGACCAATTGAGTTCTTGCCGATTGAGACGACTTTCTCGTCGGGTGAATGTGGAGTTGTTAATTCGAGCAATTTCCTCTGGTTTCATCCACTTATCAAATTTGAATCGGGAGCGTACCGCTTGTCACACACCTTTCACCTCTGGCTCTGGCTGCTGTTGATGCACCGGTTGATCATCGCGGTCGGTAGAAATGGCCCTACTGCAAAGATCATCAGATTTGCAAAGAGAGTTGCGTCGTGTTTACTCTTGTGCGCCTGAAGAGTGCTGGCATTGACGATTTGCTGGGGCCATCTGCGTGATTTTTGTAGGGAGCAAGAGGTTCTGAAGTCGAGATTGGTGTTGCAGGATGATTTCTCTTGGGCATTGGGTGCTAAGGTTTCCGACTCGAATGAATCATTGGACCTGAAGATATCTCCTGAGAATGAAGGAAATCGTCTACGTTATGTCGGAGGGGTCGATCTCAGTTTTTCCAAGAGCGACCCATCATTCGCTTGTGGTGCCCTCGTGGTCTTGGATTTCGATTCTCTGGAAGTTGTGTACGAGGATTTTTGCACCGTGCAACTGACCATGCCCTACATCCCTGGCTTCCTTGCTTTTCGAGAGGTATACTAAGTTTCACCTTGGATCGATGGCATTTTCTCTTACATGAGCATCGACTTTTTCGGGAGGATCCATTAGAAGGCTTTTCTTGACGCGTTTTTACAATAGGAGCTAATGTCACAGAGAAATACCTTGAATTGGCCGAGAGAAAAGTGGGATGATTCGACTGAAGTTACTGCAAAGATTTGACGGATGCTGTGGTGGACAGAGTCCTGTAATCCTGAACCTTCTCGACCGCGTGGGTCGCAAGAAAATAGACTTTTATCCTCAGGTATTTAAAATTGGAATCTGGGGCGGAGATTTCTTTCTGAATCGTTTTCTTTGATTTTCTTTGAAACGTTCACACATGTTTGCTGAAGCGCCAACTCTGCAGGATTTTCATGCTCAGTAACTCGTGATTTTATGGTTTGTTCCAACAGCTGTTGATGGTGGACGGCAACGGTATCTTGCATCCGAGAGGTGCGTGCCTGTTTAGCTACCATTTTTTCATTCTAATATTTCGTCTTATATCTCATCTTTGGAGCAGAGAGCTCGGGCTTAGATCCCATAGCAGTGTAACATGGGCAATCACCAGTGTTCAATGAGCAAGTTAGAGATTGATATTGGAGCTCTTTGATTTTCTATTGTTCTGAACCTGTTCGTTGATGTTCCAGGTTTTGGCCTCGCCAGCCATCTTGGTGTCCTAGCTGACATCCCAACAATTGGTGTTGGAAAAAATGTATGATTGACTGGTCCTTACACCAACTGGCCTTCCTTGAACACACAATATGCTTAAAAAACTTCTGTCCTCTACCGAGCATGACTATTCACAAATGTGGTAGAGTTTTCTAATCCCACATGGACAATTCGAAAGAACTAGGAGCGATTCTCCGAAGCAAGATGTGAATAAACTCCAATTGATCCTGAATGAGGTTCTACACATAGAAGTTTGGGTCTTTCAAAAAGTTAGACCATGAACATGAGTGTCATATTGGGGATCAAAGTACAACTTTTACTGGTAGTGACATGTTCTACTTGATGTTATGCAGTTGTTTCACGTCGATGGACTATCTGACGCAGAGGTCAGGCTTGAAGCCTCCAAGAGCGATCTCCATGCTGGAGAAACAGTTCCCTTGATAGGAAATAGTGGCCGCGTTTGGGGTGCGGTAAGTTTCCCAATCGCGCATCCAAGTACTCATATCTCCACTGTCTTAACGGTTTCTGCTGAGACTCCATGTGCTCTAGCTTTTGACCCCATTCATTACTGGTCCTTTGACTTTCTTTCCTGGCAGGCGATGAGAAGTCACGATGGCTGCAAAAAACCGATTTTTATCTCATCAGGTCATCGAATATCCTTGGAGACAGCGATTGATGTTGTGAAGCGTTGCTGTCGCCATCGTGTTCCAGAACCTGTTCGGCAGGTTATTCTTCAACCTAAACCTGATCCCATGTTTTGGCTTTTACCTGTGAGTACGTTCGGACTTTCTTTAGGGACTTGGAATTATATTGTAAATTCACGTACAACAATATCAATCCTCGGTCAGAGTTTGATCGATGCTCTGTGAAAGTGGTCACCACTTCATGAATCTGCGATGTAACATGACCGCATCGTCTTTGACTATGTGAATCCTCTTGTTGACTCCCCTTGCAGGCTGACATGAGGTCAAGAGAGCGGCTGCGAATTTTGAACCATCAAGCTGCATAAGAGACAGTGGCTAGACCAAGTCTCGTCAACCTTCGACTCTGATGAGTTCCTGTGGACTGTAAATACGATTCGCATTGATCTCATTCATTCATGTACATGGCTTGTAAAAAAATTTGGAGTGGAGATACCAAGATGTAAAGAAATGAAAAGTGAAGAGTTATGACTCAATTGAGTTCTTTAGTCTTCCTCGTAATGTGCTTGTCCTCTCCACTATCACCAATAGACACCTTGCGTTAAATGGTATAAATTATTGGTTTCATGTGAATGGTTTCTATTTAAGCTATGACTGATGAATTATGTTCACCATTTTGTCCAAGAGCTGGAACAGTTTGCTGCAATTAGATATTGCTGCATCTGTTGAATTAGAGCTTTCATCATGACTGAGCAAAACAGGAAAATTCCTGTTTCGAGTTGTCTGGTCTAAGTCAAGTAGGAGAAGAGATGATGTCGAGATGATAATGGTGGACCCCGATATCCATCAAGCAATGGACACACACACAATATGTACCCAAAGCATTACGAAACGGAAACAATTTTAGGAAAGAGTGATGTATGGTCTTCAAATACTGCATGGACATGATTGCATATGGATATGCTAACGTCACCTGACCTACAAATGGAAACGAAAAGCAAGCACTAAGAAATTCTTAGTTGAGGTAGAAGGAAAGCATTGAATGTGAATCATCGACTTTTCGTTTGAAAAACTTATGGTAATTGACAATCTGAGGTAAAGTAGAGCTTGTGCAAAGGGCGAAGTGAGTATACTCTGTTCGCAGTAAAGCAGCGAGGTAAGGGTATTGAACAGACTCCTCATCCCCTTAGACATCATAACACGGAGATACAAGTTTAGTCTCACAGTTTGTCTAAATCTGAAATCGTTGACGACAGAAGTTGTCTGCCATAGTTTTTCTCTGCAGATGGTTTGATGCTGGAAATTCTTTGAAACTTTTGAGCATCGTTTTAGAACCAAGTTGACAGTCTGGCATCTGTCAATGTGATGTAGAGATTCCGGTCGATAGATACAGTTCCATGTTCGTCCCTTCAGACTCAAAGTTGTGAGTTGTGGAATGTTTAAGCCTATCCAAGGTTCTCGTCCGAAGGGAAACAACAATGTTTGTGCCTACAGATGAAAAGGTGTGCTAATTACTTTCAGCTCCAGACAAAAATGCTTATAGCAAGGTCCAGCCGAACCAGCGGACAAAGCTTGATCTGTCGTGGTAATGATTTATCTATCCATTAAGTTGTTTTTGACTTAATATCTTGTATTGATTCATGACTTAATATCTTGTATTGATTCATGACGTAATACCAAAGAAACCGATTTACATAGGGTTCAAAGTTTACGATTCACAACTATGAAGATGGTTCTGTCGAGCTTCTTGACCAACGCTTGAGATGCAAAAGGAGAGTGTTTTCATCCAAGTAAGCCAGTCGGTGTTAATAATTTCAGCCAGAAGGGTTAGTCGAGTTTGGTTCCTGGCTTACTCATTTGGAGCAGTCTGGAGCCGATGTATAAACCATAATATTTCTAAAAGCACTGAAAGTGCGACACAGCTAACTGCTCACTCAAGAAATAAGATAAGCTGTTGTTCGGAAATCTGAAGGTTGGAAATGCGAGTGAAATGTTTTAGTCAACGGCACTCACTATAAGCCATGGTTTCAATATGTGACATATTCCTGGAATTTACATGTCTTTCGTGGGGATGATGCTCTGACGAAGGGGATTTTATGCTCAGATTCGATAGGCCTGATAATGAGATGAGAAAGAAACCAGATTGTTGTGAAAAGAGGAGAGCCTATAACGGAGCAGCATCACATATAACACTAAGGTCGGGCTCTTGCACGAATGAAAGACACAAAGAAAACCAAAATTGCGACACATGGAAAGATCCGAAGTAGACTTAGCAACCCCCATATCACTATAGCCATGGTTGGAAATGAGAACAACCGAAGAAAATTTGAAAGGACAAAAAGTATTGTAACATAAAAGCATCATGGCAAAAAGCGCAGCAATCTAGGCTTTGTGAGGGCAGACGGAAAGAGCATACATCTCGAAACATCACATCACAACATGCGTTTGCAATCTCATGAAATGAAGGACCGAGTCGTACAATCCGGGGGCATGAAGCATAAAGCCAGAAGTCCTGAACAGCGAGGGGAATCATTGTGCCTGCAGCTGTGAAAGCCCCTCTGTTGCGGTGAGCAAGTGGTGTCCGACTAAGCCAAACCTTTTCCAAAAAGAAGTTTTGCAAAGGCTTACACCATGAGATGGATAACGGTCGGCTCAAGACCCCCGTAACATAACTTAAAGTACATTGATAATACAGTATATTAACATTAGCATGAGAGTCTGCACAAAGTGGAGGTAGACAAAGGGAAGCAATTGAACTCTGATCTGCTGGAGTAAAAAAATTCGTTGAGGAAAAGAATTCGTGAATAAAATTTTTGACTTGGAGACAATACCTCATTCTTGTTTTGGTCCACCAGTAAATACCTGGCTTTTATCTTGGCACGAGTTCGACCTCCACAACCTCGTATCATTGGATCCGAATGAAGGCCAAAGGTTCATCATCCATCAAAGCTGCGAAGTGCGATATATCCATCGTGCACGCTGGACGGCCAAGTAGTTCAGCAGACATACTGGAGATGGAGATTATGTTTTGAGTATAGTTGTCCGACTCCTCGGCTTACTTTCCCACATGTACTCGACGTATTAAAGATCAGTACCGTCTCTTTAGAGTCCGGCCATTTCTTCATCCTTTGTGTCTGTGCTGTGTTGCTCCTCTGTACTTTTTTGGCCCCGCTCTCTGACGACTATTATATCCTCGTCTATAGCTAACAGGCGGTCAAGTCCAGCTGTATATTCTCCTCAGGTCTGTGTGAACGATGCACCATACCATTTCACAATTTTGGTCAGACATATATATATATATATATAAAACTCGACCTTTGAAGTTAGTATCAAATATGTAAAATTGAACGATCTGGAAATTATGACAGAGAGCGTGAAGGAATGCAAAGCAACGTCTGTTGCAGCTGGGAAGGGTTACGGACGTCCTCCAGTACATGAAGGAATGCAAAGCAGCGTCTGCTGCAGCTGGGAAATGTTACGGACGTCCTCCAGTACACGAGCTGTGATTCTCTTATCCAATGGCTACGTTGGACGTAAAGGTATTGATCTACATCTGTGCCACGTTCATTTTTATGGAAAGGAGTGTGGAGTGTCACCAGTAGTGTCTACGTCTGGAATAGCATGAGTACGATCTGCTAGCTTGGAAAATACGAGGCAGTTGATCCAAACGATCAACCTGAGTATGTAATCGACCCACCACTGGCTTGCAGATGCACATTTGGGAGACAAATGTCCCAGGCTGCGACATAAATCTCGTCGTCAGACAGTAAATTCTATATACATCTATAAACGAAGGCTCTCCGGTCCTTATATTGTTTATGGAACGAGTGGTAACTCTGCGGCCCAATGGCCGGAGGGCTGTACCGGTATTTGAAGCATTAAGACTAATCAAAGCCTTCGAAAAGATTTCGTAGCCTCCTGATACTGCCGCATAATTGAAATTGAAAGATGGCATCGTGTATCCATCTGAAGCTCAACCAAGCTCGTTCTGTAGAATCCTGATCGGAAGTTCGTTACAATCTACCTGTCTTGCACTAAAACAAGTGTGAAATTTATTACTAGTTAGCTAGTTAGAATCCTCTTCATAGTCTTCGAAGTTTATCTGAGATGAACCGATTTTGTATGAACGAGGCTACTGAAGACTTCTCGCCGATTAATGGTTTGAAGTCCCTGGTATATACAACGCAATTTGGACACTTGGTGTACATGATCTGGCGTGATCAGTGAACGAGATGAGTTGTACCTTGCTGTGATAGGGAATCCTCCTAACATCGTTTGAGCTTTAGAAGGCAAGATTCAGTGGATTCCGAAGTGTGACCCCTCTCAGAATACTTGGTAAGACTCATGTGGTTCATCAACGTAAACGAGTCTCACCTTACAAGCTGAGAGTCACAAGCTAAACGGCCTTATTTAGAGTGTAAATCTATAAGTTTAATATCCCCCGTCCATTATATACTAATGAAAACAGATAGATTCAATCTGGGAGATTTCAAAGTGATGATGTCCTCATGCTGCCTGATAAATACTATATGGAGGTGAACTTCAAAGGCGCAAGTTTCAGATGAGAACACGTGACAGAGCACGCTGCTTGCTTCACAAGTGCAAGAATTAAGGTGGCAGCCACAAAGCTTACAATGAAAACACAACATAGAGCATATGCCATTTTTCGTATGAATTAGTGAAACAACTAGGGTGACGAATTTTGAGTAACATGTTACATGCTTGTGCAACCGATACAAGCAACCAGCACGTCCCATGCAATCCAGATGTGAAATTAGCAGATAAAATATCGATAGAGAAAATATAGGACGAGGTCATTAATTCAGTCAAAGTCTCTTAACGTCATATCTGAACTAAATTCACTCACTTGAATTATACCGAACACCTGCGGCCTTGAGGGAGGGTGTCACTTTATACCAAGACCATGGCCAAATCCGATCCATGTGCACGAAGGGAACAAAAGATCCTGTTCAGTGTAGCTATGTATCACCTTCAAGGATGATATTAAGTAAAAGAGTATCATGAATTCGGAGACAAGCTTGTACTTCATCATGAATGCTTGTGTACCATCTATCAGTCTTGCAAATAAGTTTCTAGGTTTAAGATCATCTTTCTCATTTTTGTATTACGGGTGGTTCATATTCTTGTGTAGGTATATTGATTTGGTGATCCTTCGTCAGAGTACTGATTTGTCGTGGAATCATCTGAAACAATTCTAATTAGAAGTTTCATTGTGCTCTTAGGTGTTCAACATATACAAGAGGATCGTGTGGTTTGTCTGTCGCTCAAATCACTCGTAATTGCGCATGCACGCACACTATCGAGTCCTTCATTTTGTATCCAAGCAACCATGAAATTTGAAGGTTTACAACAAGGTCCTTTTGGCCGAGGCCAAGGGTGGGGAGCCCAAAGGCTGTGCTAGGAACTGTGTTCATACTCGCTAAAGATCTCAACCTTAGGACAGTTGAGTTAGTACGAGGAATACATCCGATCGTAATTGTCTTGAATGCGATGCTGTTCGAAGATAAATTAACTCGTAATCACTGCCGACTTAGCGAGCGAAGTGGCAGTTCTCGATGATTATTGAGATGCGTAGTAATTCTGATTGTCATATGATAACAGCCAAATGGCCTGCGGTTCTTCGACTACATGTGATCATCCACATCCGGTGTGGCTTCGTTTCTCTAACAGAGATTTTCTTACTTGACTGAGCTGTAGACATTAGGAGTGAATGCCAGTTAGGAGCAATCGCTCAGAGAGGTCATAGCTAGTGATACACATGAACACAGCTTGATGCACTGAGACACACTAATTTGAAAAAATCTCGAATGGAATATCTCGATCTATATTCTCCTATATCGATCATAGCTATATGAAACTCTAACTCATGTCATGAAGCATACATGGACTCACAGAACACAGAGGAAAGAATTCATAAAAAACGTACAATCAAGGCCTCTTAAGGTTTTATATTGCATTGAATTCAACACATTGACGTTGCGCTGGATTTTTGTGGCTGCAGTATCAGAGTTAAATCTCAGACCTTGGATGGCACAAAGGGTCAGGGCCATGTGGAGTTCTCTAAACTGACCTCCAGCTCGCAGTCGCTGGATTCCAATGCACCGGAAGCAGATTCTTCTTCTCCGTCTGACTTTAAACGAAACCTCTTTAACAGCTGTGTGATCGGGGCTGGTGGTCACTGGTAGTAGCCATACTTGTGTTGTTTGTAATTTGAATGAGATTCATTCTCGCGATGAAAATGACCAGAGCCAGATTAAATAGCACGCTAAATTGGCCAGTGATCAACTCAGTAAGGAAATCACTTACTAACGATTCAAAAGTTACCTGCAAATCACTTCTGCAACGATCTATGACTCAAGAGTTTGACAGATAATCTGGTATAGGTGCGTTCTCGCGCATCCTCCTGCAAGTGCACTCGTAGGTTTCTGCAGTGAAGTTGGAAATACGGAATAGACTGACGTATATAAATCTAGCTCTAGACTTTTTCTGTCCATCCGTGACTTCGCATTTTTACTGTAATGACAATCAACGATAACTTTTGCCAGTTTCTGAAGGTGGTGGAAGTGTACAAGAGTATCATGGACTACGTGAACGCCGAAGATTGCATGCAGAGGACAGCTCTGCACTATTTCTCCGAGAGTAGCTCTCAGTTGTCAAAGCTACCTGCAGAAGAAGAGGTTCTGTTGGCAGCGAATTGCTCTGATGCTTGTGTGGACTTCGCTGGGTTGCCAACATCAGATATATATGCCCAGCCAGAGACTGCAGATATGTCATTTGACAAGGATCTGACTAAACGTTTTTCGACATCCAGGGTCCACTCGAGAACACTTGACAACGCACGAATGGTTGTCCCATCTGCGAGAGCACAGCTTTGAGTTGCTATCTATGCACAAGTTGAACTGGGATGGAGAGGGTCAGTCCACAGAGCAATCACCTCCAACCAGCGAGAGCATTTGATTTGAATTGAAAACTCAGTCATTCAGAAGTTTGTACTGCATCGTGAGTTGAGCTTATGATGAATAAGTTCCCTTCTCTCTCACTCAACTTGCAAAGCGACATATCTGGTCGACACCTCTTCTGATGAATCTGTTGTCTTTGGCGGAAGAAGACAAGGACACGTTTGTTTTCTCGCAGCTACATTCTCTGAACTTTGTCCGTCGGTGCAAAAAGTGGTCATTTTGAAACCCCCGACATACAACCTTCTGGCTCTTTTCCAGTAAGGCGAGGTTCCTGGTGATCCTTGTCTCATGATCATCATGCGCCTAACATAGGCATTCATCATTGATAGCAGTAAAGAAAAGTTGACCCCTAAATGTGTCACGGTTTTCACCTAGATTCAGTGTTCGTGAGATCGGTTCAGTCGCAGTGGAATGGATCCTTGAGTCTCTCCGCTCACCTCCTGTATCTATAGGTGGGCGGACAGACTACACCATCTGGAAATCTTTAGGAATGATGTTTTAGGATACAATCTACCACATCTGACCGCGACAGACAAGTCTAGCAGAATCTCACTCAGACGTGACACCGTATTCGTCATCGGTTAGCGGTTTGAAATAACGCACTCAAAGAACTTCGTAATTAGTTAGTTTGAATGATTTATCGATTGAGACTGGGATGCTAAATTGAGCAAGCTAGGAGAGAAATCTTATCCCAATCGCAAACCGATTGAATCTTCTATCAGAAATATGTGTCAACACACGAAATGCTTGGTGCTTGTACAGTACTGAAAATGTAGAAAGTTAACATGATGACGGTCGACAGTCAAACGTGCTCCATAAAGCCATCACCACGAACTTCATGGCGTGCTGTAATCGAAACTTTTCCCAATTCCAGTATTTTGTTGAGAAGGTGATGCAAATTTGTTCTCTTGGGTCCACCCATAGGTCCGCGCACAGAGTAACCCTCTGAGTGCTTGAGATAGTTTCAGAACTCCATGTGCTGATTTTGTTCTCCATTTTGCCCTCCTCGTATCCCTTCCAGTGTGCTCATGAAACATCGGCCCATGCAGTGCATCATCAGGGTCATAGGCAACAGACATTGCGTACACGTCACAACGATCGTCGACGCCCAGTCGAGTTTGGGTGTGTACTTGTCCTTACCTTCCTTTTACAGGACGGGTAACATTATTGGGAAATATTATATGATCTTAAGAAAGGTAAGCACCCCATCACCTGTTCTGTGCAATGCACAACTTCATGTCCATTTCGTGTGTGCCCACGGACCTCTCGGACACGTCATTAGCGGTCGAGGAATATCACACCTTTCCCATCACACAGTTGCTTTTCCTGGTTTGCAACCCTATGTCCGTGTGACTGACAACGAAGATCGAAGCTGGCAGCAAGCTTGTGTTCGTTCGCTCAATCTATCGATCTTCGTGTCCCAATTTCTGTCAGGTAGAAGATCAACCTCCTATTTTCAGAACTTGCAGCTCTCAATTTTTGTCAGGGAGAAGATCGAGCTCCTATTTTTCAGAACTTGCAGCTCCCAATTTCTGTCAGGGAGAAGATCAAGCTCCTCTTTTGCAGAACTTGCAGCTCTGGCCATCTCGATCGGACTGGCATCGCCATGGAGAATCCTATCTTTATTTAGCCTTATCAGTGCCTTGATTCCTACTTTCTGTCAAGGGACGATTGTTGTGATTTCGTTTGTTTCGAGTATTTCGTTGTGCTGGAAAACTGATGGACAGCTCAGATCTCGCCGCCGTCGTGCGGTTTACAATGAGACGTCGAGTCCCTCAGATTCGTGCTGTAGGGCTGCTGATGTACTCATTGAACCAAGATTTGGTTCATTTGGTTTCCTACGGCGAGGCGGCCGCCGAATGTGATGGAGCGATCAGCCGAGCACGAGTCAATCGATGGACGCTCAGATCATCGTCGTCAGGCGGAATGCCAGGATCACATCTAAGTCTTGGGAGGTATAAGCTAATTTTGATCGACTGTTTGATCATGTGATATCTTGAGGGATGTTTCCAACCTAATCTTTCAGCAAGGGAGACATTAGTTTGGTATATAATTCATTTCCCTGTATGTTCAGACTAAACATCTATGATTGAACACTCCAGTGTGGAGAAGATGTAATTTGATGGCGCTTCCACGAGACAAATGACGGTCGCTGCTGGGCCACCAGAGGGACATAATGCCCCGCCTACACTCTTGAGGCAGCTGGCGCGATGAGGATGGTACAGGTTGCGTTAGTGTCTTGCCACAGCTTTGAAGGCAAAAGGCTGGAGTCCGCTCTGAGTTTCTAGGATTGGAAGCTCAGCGAGGAAATAACTAGCTGACATGTACACAGGGTAAAAAGCAGATCACAAGGTCACCGTGTTCTTCCGCCGCTGCTGAGAAACTGACGGAATACATCATCAGTCGGACTGTCAGATAGAGTGTGACGGCTTTGATATCCAATCTGTTGCCGGTCAGATTGGGCAGACTGCAGAGATGAAAGCCGGAGAAGCTGGCTGGAACGTTTCTGACGTCAGCCAGACTGCAATGGATAAGGCCATCGAAGATCAGACTGGCAACTTCTTGGAGCAGGTAGCAGTCGGTATGCTTATGATCAATTGACAGGCGAGCTGAAGCGTAGATACCTCATCTTCTACGACAACTACGAATTTTCTTCATGTTGTCGACCCGAGTCGCAGACTGCGAAGTACACGGAATCTAATATCGTGAGCATATTTTTGACCAAGTTGGCCTCCTCTATTATGGCAAACATGTTGATCCTAAAAGTAAGATCTTCTCACTCTCTATTTGTTGAATATACATAGAGACCTCCCTGAAGGATATTGTTTGCTTTGATAATAGTATTATACAGTGTGAATAAAGGGAGCTGTAAGTTTGGGTTAATTGTCAGTTCTGTGATTGAATAAAGCTATCTTTATATTTACTGGAGCTAGTCATCACTCAGTTTGGGTTAATTATTAATTTTGTGATTGGTCAGAGCTATCACTATGTTTACTAGAGCTCAGTGATATAGTCTCCGTGAATACACGAAAAAAATTATGCACATTAGCCTAACGTGAGCATAATTAGCCCATAATAGTGAATGGCTAGAGTACCATGCTCTCTTTGTACTCGTACGTCTAGTCTATTGACCGTACGTTGGATACCTTGAAGATTTACATATGAAGGGGGATTAACCTTCTTATTATTTATTTTGACAGCGAGTAGTGTTGTGTTCAGATATATCTACCTTAGGCGGCCGATATATGTTTGCAGGGTGCACATCGATATGTCAGGTTTAGACGTTGCCGGCATGAATACTTGCTTGATGATGTCTCTTCAGTCTCGCACCAGTTGACATTAGACACCAGACTTCAGACTCCTATTAATAGCCCTCCATTGCCCATTCGAGGTATTTGATCACCTGGACTTTTACTTCTAACCTGTTACTCTCCCATCCTACTTCCTCTAACATCTCATTTGTTTCGTGTTCAGATTCCGTTATTCTGAGTGGGGGAGCCTATAAGACTGCATTCGACTGTCAACCCTCAATATACTCACAGCAAGTCAAGATGAGGCGGTGTGGTTAAATCCATTTGATTTTGATCCAGAGTCGAAAACTTGGGAATGTGCTCTCCATCAATATTACTACCATAGCGATGTGGAGTATTGAGTTAAATTCAATGATTGGGCCGATCCCGCACATGCAGCTGAAGTTTGTGGTGGTATAAATTCTTGATATCAATGCAAGTGGGTTGGCATATATATAGACTCAGAACAGTACTTGGCAGATGCAGAAAATGTCACCTCTTCGATCCGTAACACGCTGGCTATTGTGAAATTGTATTCAAAATGGAATGAATTTTCCCCAGATTCCACGCTCTGTATGTACTCGCCAGTCTGTTCTTATCTGGAAGTGATTGTCAGGAAGCTACAAGCAAGCCGCCCAATGTCCAGCCAGATTTGTATCAATTTGAGTGGTATCAGTCAGAAATATTTTTGTGTCTCAGACTCTGACACTTGAGCAAGGATGTGACTCTCATATTGCAGTTGCCTGTTCCGATTACTTTCGTCATGGAACGCCGCTATCATCCTTGTACTGACCTGACCGTTCCTGAAAAATGCGTACTCCTGAGTAGTACCCCTGAAATTAATATATTGACCGCTTTTCTTAAAGTGGTTGTTCTGAGAGACGGATAAAATTGTTTGATTATTATCATCACGGCACAATCAACTCTATAAATAGTTCACTTTATCATCTCCAAGTATTTTATCCATGGGAATATAACACAGGGCTGTTGGTCACTTCGATTTACAACTCCAGTTCAGATTGCAAACAATTGGGCATCGTCAACTGCATTCCTATAACCTACTATTGAACATGCACGGTGTTCTTGGTCACCTGTGCATCATCTGAAACAATGATGTCGACCTTATGCGTACCTGCAGCTTGCAAGCTGTATTGGAAAAGCTCTCCCAGGATTTAGACTTGTCTTGCTGCCAGAGTACAAAGACATAGATGAAAACTAGCACGCAGTACGAGAAGTGCCAAGCAATATATTTTGAAGCTGGTTCGCCTGGAGTTTTAGCATTATCCCACTAACGTGACCAATATAACACTGCACAACGCTTGTTCTTCCGCAGGCTACTTCAAGTCATTCTTGGTAATATGGTTCGAAGAACGATTAGAAGAAGCCTGCGGTAAGAGAAGTGTCGTGCAATGGTAGCAAATGTGTCGCTTTAGGCGCTTGATCAGAGAATCATATTTGAGTAACCATACTATACAGCCATGAAAGCTAAAGAGAAAACGAGTATCGAGTAGACTTAGTCTCACAGCAACGTTTGAAGAGGGTCGGTGATTAAACCCTGTACTGGCAAAGTTTTCCTGCAAGAGCAAACAGAAACGTGGATTCGTTTTGAGGATAGTTCGGGCTTGACAAAGTATTTCGTCATTCTTTTGCTACGAAGTTCGTAGACTCCTAGTGAAAGGACTAGCTCACACCTGCTTCTGTCATCATCATCTCAAACTATCGAATTCAGCAAGTTAGAGCTTCCGGCTTCTTAGACAAGTAAGAGCTATGTCAGGATTACAATTCAGTCCTACTTGTTCTTCGAAATGAATGACCGAATAGCACACTTACGTCAAGATCCTCCAACTATGCTCTCCTGATATTTACTGCAAAATTTGCTCAAGTGAACTTAGTCCAGAACTTGTCAAGAGTCTCGTGCCATAGCTCCTCTCGCTCATTGGCGGGCTAAAATATCTCCCTGAGAACGCGGAATTATAAAATTCTTCCACTAAACTTTCCAACTGTGGTGTTCAAATTGATTTCTCGTCCTGTGGCGCCTCCTGATCATTGTCAGGTACAAAAGCTACAGGTCTATCACCTGAGTCTACAAAGGCGATCTTCACATTCTTAATCTGACTGGTCATGGACTTCGTGTGTTCGCATTCCTTGTACGGACATCAGAAGGTCATGACCGGTCAGATCATTTATGAGGTTCTGCACCTAATCTCTCATTGATTAAAATGTTCGGCTTAGCGCACGAGTTTCAGCCAGTTCAGGTCACAGTGCATCTAAAATTCTCTGTGAGATTTGGAACCAAATATTGTTGTGGGACGAGCACTCGTGCCACTGCTTAACATCGAAGCCCAAGAGAAAAGAGAGGGCGACGGTCCTCACTTTACGAAAAAGCATAATTTTGAAATATGGATCTCGTACAGAATTTCTCAAGTGTCTCTTTACATAAGATCCAGCGCTACTGCAAACTCTACAGAAAAGAAAAAGGTTATTTACTGGACCCGGTCCGGATGTTCGGGCAACAAAAGTCTACTGGCGCGTAGTCTACAATCTGTATCAGTAAAAAAGGCCTTCTCAGACCCCCTGGGTTATGTGATTATGTTCACTGGCTACGAACGTATGGAAATCCTTGCGAACTCTGAGCTGAAGGTTTTGCTTCTTTGTTTTCTTCCGGATCCTAGGCTAGCCCCTCGACACTTTTGGTCTCGGACTAGGCTGCGTCACATATTTGAGCTGAAAGGCCCTTAAAGGTACCAATGGAAAGGAAAGGAAAGGAAAGTAAATGTGCAAGGCATGACGATTCCCTAGCCTTCCACGTTCTACTCGGAGGAGGTCTGATACCAATCCAAACGGGCACTTCTCAAGCTCCGCCACTGGTTCTCAGCAGCACGATTACAGTGGGCGCAGACCATCTGAGTCCCTATCCCACGAGCCAACAACATTCGTGCTTCGGAGATTGACGGTGTACTTGACTTGTGCAAATACCGGGAGCAGAATCAGCCCCTCCGACGAAGCTGCATAGGGGCCATCATGATTCATTCACGACAAACACGCAAAGTTTGCCTCTCTTGGACATTTTGGTTCATCACTCTCTCTCTCCCTCTCTCCCTCCCTTCTGTCTGCAATACCTCCGAATACGCAAGACTCAATGAGAGGAACGAGAGAATCAGTCAATAATTCAACTGACCATCCATATGATCATCAGCTTTTGGGCAGATGAGCCCCCACTCACGCCTCAAGGAGTGCCCGTGGAGAGATGTTTCCATTCCAAAATGTTCTCCATATCGTCGCAAGATGAGTATCGCATAGGAAAAGCTGCGGTGAGCCATATTGCTACTAGGGTTACCAGTCTAGGTGCGACGAGTCCATGATTAGATGATACTGGTTGATTGTTCGATCACGAGCCAGTTGCAACTTGCTTTCAACAATGTTCTTGTAAATTATTTTTAAAAGTTTCATAAACTGGACTCTACATTATTTCATTTAAACAGTTCTAAACCATGTCCTCAATCCTCTAGCTAGAGTAAGCGCATCATTACTCAACTCGTTATTCGCGAGCTTCGAACACAGCTTGTTCTGTCAATATTGTTATTTTATTATTATATTTTATCATTGAGTATAGTTGGAATATTAAAATTATTTTTTTGATATAAAGAAAATTCAGAAGTGTTTAATTTTTTCAATGAAATAAATTTCGTATTTACTCTTAATTCTAGAATCATGGCTTGGAAAAAAATGAAACCTAAAAGTAATAAGCTATCAATGTCAAAATGAATGATATTACATGTACAAAGATTTGTAGTGATGGATTAAACCATTTTAGAGACATAGTCTTCTATATATATTGTCAAAATAGCATCCGTAAATGCAATGATAAATGTATTGGTCATACTCAACTTCTTTAAATAAAACTTTGTAATACTAATCCTCACAAAAAATTTGGGAAGCTCCCAAATTTGTTGTGAGGAATGTGAAATATCTCGTTTAAATTCTCTCCTCAATTTTATTATTGAAATAAGCATAAGTAGATCATATTTTTAGTTTCATCATAGATATCCTAATTTTATATTTTGTATGATTTATGGCATATGATTATTTATTTTCAATGTTTGTGACTTCAAAATAAAGTGCATTCTTTTGGCTCTATGTTGAGATATATAATGTAAATTTAGTCGAAGATTTTCCCTCATTTTGATACAACATATGTGCCGCGTATACCGCAACGTCCCCATTTTACCTCACATTCAGTTAAAAAGTAAAGGGTCCGTTATATATTACCAGGTTTCCCTACTTGAATCCTCAGAGCATGGTCTGTAGTATAATGCTAGAAGTGATAAGGATCAAGGAAGACATTAGAACCACGTGTCAGAGCTTTCGGCAACAGCTTCCATCTTCGCAGTCCGCACACTTTGACAGCTTCCAAATAGCTCCAGGACAAAACCATCTTCCTCTACTTTGCATACGTGGGATAATTATGCTAATCACAGGAGTTTAATTTCACGGAGTACTATACTATTGATCATGCTCGCTACACTTAGACAAGTCCAGAATATGTCTTCGGTAGATAGACATGAGAGAACTATAATTATCATAATATTATTGAATTGCTCTAAAATAGCCACTTGGCTTGCGATCATAATCTCAAAGTGATCATATAAATTTGATAATACAATTATTGTTAAACTTCTTATGGGCTGTTAATATCAAAATTAACGTTTCACAAAGTAAATTAAAATCTATAAATGAGAGTGAAATCCATATGTTAGAGTCAATATTATCATTTTTCATCAGCTAATTTATGTGATTTATCCATTGATAGATTAACCTTCCAGTTATACAATGCAATCAACATGATTTAACATAACTCTTTTGCATGATACTTCATAATCCAAAACATATGTTTTCAATCATGAATTTCAGATTTCAAGTTTCAAAACTAGAAAGTAAATACATATTTTAACAAAGGAAACTTTCAGTATGAACACGTATTGTGAATTTTAATATTCAGCACAAAATGAATTCCATCATATAAATATATTTATTTATTCATATTTATTAAAAATATTAATTCAAATCAATCAGACCCGGCATTCTCGAGAAATAAGTCAAGGCACATTATTGTTTGACGAGACGCTTTTTGCTTCAATAAGCAACTGAAGTACACTAACGCTAGAATAGGCAACATTATGTTGCCTATTCTAGCGTTAGTGTACTGCCGATGCTGTATGTTGTCAACATATAGCTTCATGCACTAGCTCAAGACCAGCACTCCTCCTATTAGGACATCAAGGCATATGTTTGACAGTTTGACCACGTCTATGAATCACAAAGCACAACCTGCATGTAGTTCCATGCACTAGCTCAACTTCTGTTCGTCCTTCAAGTACCAATATTATCTCAGCAAATATGATTGCCGACTTTTCCATGAGCATGAATCAATCATTAGGATTGTATTGATTTTCCAATACTGGAGCCCTAGACTAGGTAAAGTCATTTGTAATCATGACAGATTTCGATGCCACATCATTCGTAAAGTCAATAAGTAACAAATTTGATCTTAATGTACATTTATAAGCTTTTATAGTCTAAAATGTTCACAATTTTACTGTTTTCATGATCACATCATATAAAATATGACGACAAATATAATATTAAATTGAGTT